GCAGCCTGATTAAGTTCCTGCCGATCAATCATTTCAACTAGCAGGAATGTTGTAGAAATGAGCAGCACTGTATGCAGAAAGAATGAGCACCAACTGTGTTCTCACTGAGCACAAAGTTACAGAAAGGTTATGGTATTGGGGGTTATGGTGGTGTGGTTAAGTGCATGAAAGGTTAATCAAAAATGACTTCCATGCTTGCCTGTACTTCTGCCAGCCCCCATTTATTTCATAAAAACAATTTATCTTTATAATTACAGACAATTTTAAACTAACAAATCTCTCTGCAGAAGCTGTTCTTGTATGCTAAACATAGCCAGACCCAATGAACATGTCTTCCATGTGATAAATGAGTGTCCTGCTACCCTAAACAGAGCTGCTTCAATTCAACAAAACTTTCTAGTTGTTTTAATCCTCCAGTTAATGCAATTTGCTGAGTGCCAAGTGTCACACATGGTTAGTTCCCGTTTGAACAAACTCATTATTCACTGCAGAGGAGTGTGCCAGTGTGTTCAAAGCAAACTACTCACTGGGGAAGTGCTGAGGAAGATATTTCATTTCAGTAGAGTCATTTTCTGGTTAGTTTTTTTGTTTTTTATCTCTTTATGTGGGTTGTTTGTTTTTACAGCCTTATGACATTATTGATTTTGCTTTTAGGGAAGTAATTTGTTACTTGGCAGGTGCAATCCTGTTGTAAATGATCTGACTGTTCCATACAGTACATCATTCAGTGTAATACACACGCATGGACAAACATAGGGTTGAATCTATCGGTTGACAGCAGCTGCCTGCTGGGTGTCGGATAAAGATGAATGGATGTAAAGTCAGTGTATTACGGAAATGAGATAAAGGATAGGAAAAAGGGGTTAAAAGCAAAGACACCTTTAAAAGGTGTTTAAACACAACACTGCATATGATAACATTTTAAGTCAAACTTGTTAGCAAACAGTTGCTTATTTACACATTCAGCAGTTACGGAGCAACATTATCATTTATTTGGAGTTGTGTTTGTGTCCACCTGATGAATGTGAATCCAATATTTACTCTTTAGCTCTGTGTTTGGTCTGTACCAGGTCCTGATGGAAATATCTGGCTCTTTAGCTGCTAAATGTTCTGCTATGTTTACCAGCTAGTCTCTAGCTGTGTCTGTATGCTGTTTGGTGCTGAGCAGGTAGTGGTTTTTTTCTGACAACAGTTGCCTGCTTGAAGACAACGCTACGAGAGTGGTGAATGTGTACCAAAACAGTAAAGTTGCAGACCGGACAGTTGCAACAATGAGCAAAACCTGCTGTAAAGTAGAGAGGAGCTACAGACTCAGGTTATAAATCTCTGTAGGTTCATCCCTACAGACAACCCCTCTGTCACATTGTAATCTGATGCATCATTCCTATAACAACATAGAGCATGGCTGCTTTAAGATCACTATGCTGAAAAACTAACTATAACTGTGGTCACATGAGCTGTGCATGACGCAATGCATTTTCCATCTAATCCCACCACTGAGGTAGCCATGTAGTTTACATTGGTGCTCACTTTGTGTACTGAAGATAATCCACCTAATTGTCAAGTAACTACTAAAAAAACATCTGCAGTCATTATCAAGACTTAAAGAGTAAACCTGGCTTTACAGAAGAATAGGAAACGGTATTTTCTTGAGAATAATAGTCATTTTTGTTGCAAGATATTCACCTGATAACCAGCCCACTTAAGGTTTTTAGTACTTATCAGAACGTATTGGGAACGGCATTAATTCCAGTATGAGATTCAGGGCTGAAATACACAAGATAGGACAAACGTTTAGTGATCCTCTGTGGGAAATGCATTTGTTGTTGCAGCAGCATGTATATAAATACATCAAAACCAAATAGGAAGTGGCTGGATTAAGCACAACACAACTGACAATTCCCATACTGTGTTTACACAACATGAGAGGTAGAGATGAGAAAGTATGGAACACAGGATTTATGATTATGAGGGGATATAAAAGCAGCAGGGCATATGTATGAACCACACCAACAGAAACTGATGTTGTAGTGTGTGTGTATATACAACAAGCTGGTTTCTGAAGGACAGCCTGCAGAACAGACACAAAATATATTTAATGACACTGAAATATAATGAGTTAAATATTAGGGCTGCAACTAATGATTATTTCCATATATATTTATCAATTAATCTGCTGATTATAAGCTTTTCTGACCATTTTCTGACATTTTATGGACCCTGCGATTAGTTCCTTTATTGAGAAAACAAACCATAGATTCATGAATAATGAGAATATTCATACTATAAAGTGTCAGAAAACAAAGAGAATGCTGGTCATAGTTTCCTAAAGCCCAAGTAGGTATAGGAAAAACAGGTTCAACTGCTCCTGACACTAATCTCAAACTTGTAGTGGCCCATAATTAACAGCAGCAGTTCACAATGTTCTTGGGCCAAAATCCATTTTAGAAATCAGGACTGTATGCTACCTTTTTTAATCTATTTCTGTTATTTTATCTTGTGCATGTAAGAAAGGATGATGTGTGGGATAATCTCATCCTGAGTGCAGATAATGTTCTCTGTCACTGCCCACGACACCGTACTGATTTAGATTTTCTGGGACGGACAAAGATGCAGGGACACTGAGATTTTCTGAAGATAAAACATCAAACAAACATTAGAGAAAGCTCCATGAAGCTCCACAGTAGTAACTATCTCACTCCTTGAAACACTGCACGGGGCTAAATCGGGAAAGGTGACGTCATGCGAGTTCTCAGAAGACTTTCCTTCTTTAACTTCATAGCAGCAAGACATAGGTCAAAGTTCAGAGGGTTCCCCGATTAACCCAATAGAATTACCACTGGAAGGCTGATCTACATTAGCAGTTCATTTGACTGTTTTGGCCAGTTACATGTCTATTTAGTTCAGTATGACAGGTCACATTACATGTCCTCTTCTGTGGCCGGGGGGGGGGAGGTCACTGGTTTTAAACTGACACTTCAAAACGGGATCATGGGAAAAGGACACAGCGTTCATCCAACACATGCTTCTAACATCTTGCTTTTAACGACTTAGTTTTTAGTAAAATGATTTTTCTATTTATATTACATTTGCTGTCCAAAAGTTCAAAACTGCATTGTACTTCATGGTCCAATATACAGTCTGTATTTTAATAGTGGAGTTCACATTGAGAGAGAATGAAATAAGAGACCATTCTTAGTCTGTGCCCTTCATCTGTGGTATCTCAGCTCTATTAAGCTAATGGACTGTCAAACTGTTATTCAGCCAAACCAAATTAGTTTAGCACCAGTGTTAGCAAACATGACACCACCCCGGGGGTATGTTCCAGGGGATGTTAGTGCACGCTCGAGAGTCTAATATGCTTACAAACACCGATTTAACAGTCATAACGTGGAGAAACGAAGAACTGACTGTTCAGTTATATCAGTTATATTCCATTTCTGCAGGTCTGTGTATTTCCATTTCCCATGACAAAGCAATTGTTCATTTTTCTTGATTCATTATGGAGGGATGTGTCATGCTAAAAAGTACAGATCACCGACCTGTCGCTGTACTCCCTTGGGACATTGAATCCAAATAATTATGAAGCAAGAAAGTGTGAAGAAAAAGATGCATAATCTTGCACAATTTTCTGTATCCCCCCCCCGCTCATACTGGAGTGTATAAGGGACGACAGCCAGCCACACCTACAGCCTGAAGTCATGTTGCACGATATTATGATTTAGAAAAGCTTTATTAGGTCAGGCTAGTGCTTGAAAAATCCCGAACACACCCTTGAACACATCAGACTGCATTGTGCTCATCAGAGCCAGTCCAACCAGTCTGCAGAAGCATCCACGTAAAGTGTCAATTAAAAGGCTGAGACATGAATTTTGTCTTCCCCATTTTCCCCATCTGTTTCCTGAATAAACACCACAATAACGCTCGTCGGCTAGCCCCAGCTTGTGCCCCTCATGAATCGCACGTTACTTTCAACTCACAGAGCTAAACATCAGATTTTATGAAAAATGAATACCTGCCGATCTTTGAGCCAGAAGGTCGTATAACATCTTACTGCTTTTATAAAAGGATTTTCATAATCCTTAAAGATTATTTTAACCCTGCAAAAATATAAAAGATTTTTCACCCTTTCCTCAAGTTGTGACTGTTTCATAATCCAGGTAGTCGGATTACATGTCCTTGCTCTTTTTGTAAAACACATGCAAATATTAACATGTTATTTTGCTGTAAAATATAAAAGAATTGAAAGTTTATTAGGAATCTTAAAGCTACAGCCCTGCAATAAATCAAAGGGAAGATGTATTGCAGGGCTGCATTAGTTTAAGTTGGGTTTTAATTTGTTTTCATTTGGTAAAAACAAAATCATATCGGTCATTTCCGGCTACCATCTTTGTTTGGATTGGGAAAAAAGGTTAAAAATCTAGTTTTTTTAATGCAGCAGATGGAATATTCTTTCATCCAGATGGTTAGAATAGTATTTATAGATGGTGCAAACACAGCAGTGAGGTGTTATTAAACGGCTTTCTGGATTCTGAGAATCAGATGCTCTGTGACTTGAATGTAACAAGGCACAAACTGGGGTTAGAGGTAGGGAAACAAAAAAAAAAAAACTCATGTAAAAGCAGTGCTCCAAATTGGCAAACACCCACCAGACTTTGACTGAATGAGACAGGACTCAAACAGTAAACAGTGCAGGAGTTCACACACTGCACTGAAAGACTGATGACTTATATAAATGAAGTCAGAGAAGCACACAGCATGAATTAGACTTCATGAAAAGAGCAGCCAGCCAAGCACTGAGCTCAAACTCTGAGCTAACTCAAGTGGTTGCTTACACATATTCTGACAGCAGGAGCAAAAACCAATGAGTTTCCTCTGCGTCAGGTGTATTAAAGCGGATTAACACGCCTCTTTAAGCAGGCTACTTTGTATCCAACATGAGCAAAACTAAAAAATGTTTTGAGCCTCCAAAAACGTGCTCAGATACTTTGTGTGTTTACCTTTTCGTCTTCGTCTTCATCACTTTCTCCATCCCCTGGTGGCTCCTTCTCGTACTCCGTGCTTCTGCCGTCGTTGCCGCCTTCCAGGTCCGAGTTGAGACCCTCATCTCCATCTCCGGGAACTTTGACGTGCAGCACAGCCGTCATTTCTTCCTCCTCTCCCTCGGACAAGGTGTGCGAACCCGACGACGACTGACTTCCACACGCCGAAAAATGCTTGTCCTCCATTTTTTATTATAATTTTAAACTAATATCTAATATTTCCCAACGCATTCAGACAAACATAACAAGACGCAGCCATTAATTAACCCGCGAGCGCACCTGTCCGCCGAGCTCATGCTCCTTATGAGTCGCGAGCCCATAAAAGGATACCACTTCTGTGGGACCGAGTAAAAACAAAGTCACGACCCTGTCCAAAAGTCCGTGTTATTAAAATATCTACCGACCCTCCTTGTTCACAGCATCAAGGTTGAACCGCCCCCCGTCCCTCCTCTCCTGTGCAGGTGTCCTCTTCAGGTAAAAGTTGCCTCTGTTTGGATGTTCTGTGTCGGTCATTACTTTCCCAGCAGCGTGAGTCCATGCTGTCACCCACTTCACGAGTGCTGCTGCAGCCCAAAATAAACCCCGCCCACAACGTGCTTGGTGGGAGGACCAATCAGATCACTGCTCCTGCCAAAACACCTTCAGTCATGTCAGGAGGGGGTTCAAACAATTAGATTAAAAAACTATTAAAAAAACGTTTGTGTTTAGTTTTTTTGAGGCCTGATTTAATTAACACATAACCAGGATACTCTGTGTATTATGCAACTGTACACTTCCATTATATCTCAGAGACATCTTTGGTTAGGATTATAATCTTTCACTGGCTTCCTGTCCAGTTAAAATCTCCAAATTTGGTGATTCAGAATTTTTGTTTTTGTTTTGAAGTGTTCCTTTAACAGTTCAGAGAATTGTCCTACTTCTTCAACTAAATAAATTATTTAAAAACCCTCTTGGATTAGCTGGATATTACATTGTCACAAAAGCTGGAAACGTGGCTGTTTTTGAGTTCAGTCTAGAGTTCATGAAAAGTTGACTTCTTAGAGATACGTGGTTCTCGCAGGACGGTGGTACTACAAACTCATGGTGATCTTATATAATATGGTGCATTGCTGTAGATATAAAGTAGTTACAATGAGCTCAGCCATAAACATCTACAGCAGTAAAATGCAACACTAATATTAATCCAAAATTATAATATAATAGTAATGCACTGCACAATCAATACTTTAACCTTCGATACTTTAAGTAAATTTTGATTTCAAGTAAAAGATCTAAATGCTTCTTCCACCACATGTTTGTGTGTATGTGAACACACTCACCCAGTGCTGTTCTGAAGGGATTTCCAGAGGTCTTCTAACAATGTAGATAAATAAATATTCTGTCTGTTGCACAGTAAAAAAGACTTTAACCCATTAACCCAAGATGTGACTGTATTTCCTATCCAGATAGCCAGAAAAGACATACCTGTATGTCCTTGCTCTGCTTGTAAAAAGTTATTATGAATGAAAATATAAAATATTGGAAAGGAACATCAATGTGCTGTACACCAATATAACTTATAATAAGTGTTTAAAGTGTTTAATTTTGGGTCACACTGTACTTATGCCGTTTCCAATCTCCATCTTTGTATGGATTAGAGAAAAAAGGCACAACTTGGGAAAAATCTTGTTTTTCATGCAGCTGACAGAGCATTTTTTCATCCAGACGATAAGATAGGAGAAGATAATAAATAGTGCTGAAAATCAAAGTCCAGAACTTTGATAACTCAGTAATATAAACCTCTGTTCTGAATATTAATGAATATTTTAACTTTTGATGCAACAAACTGTTAATCCTGTTCCTTTCATTTGCAGAATTGCTGTTACGCTGCCGATGTACATCAGCGTAAAAAAACCAACTTTATTAATATATAAAAACAAATAGAAAACATTTAAAAGCCTCATTTTGACATTGAATGTCTTATGAATTAAAAAGATACGTTTATGATCATGTATTATAAAAATCCTCAGACTAGCATGAAGTTCTACATAGACAAGTCTTTTCTTACTCATGACTGATGTGCCTTTGAGCAAGGGCTCTGACAGCTCCCAGGAAGCAGCTCTGTGGACGAAGTGCAAAGACTTATGGGCAACTTCCAGGAATGAATGTGTAGAATTGCATGAATGTGAGACAGAAAAGTGTCTACAGGTGCAGGACTAACAAATAATCTGATAGGCCGGAGATATATCCAGCAGTATAAATTGTTCTCTGACCTATTCACTGACACGCTTGTCTTTCATTGCTCTAATGTGAGAGGTATGCTTGTGTGGGATGGTTTATTTATCTCCTTAATGTTCAACATCTGCTTATTCACATATTCTCCACTCACAGTCAGCCTGTTGATAAAGTTATCTATGGCTTTGTTTCTTAGAAATGTCTTTCTTCCCTCTGCAACCATGAAAATTGAGACAAAGATATTTCCCAGAATAGCAATTGCTGTTTACACGGATTACACAGTTTTATCTTCTAAGAAAGTATTTGTCCTAACTTGGTTGTGCTCCAGGTACCATCCCACATGTAGCAGCAGCAGATCAGGAGCAGGGCTCAGGCTCTCAGAGGGCCCACCAGAGGGCCCACTTGCACAAATGTCTGTAATTCCTGTAAAATGACAAAAATGATATTATACTTGATGAGAAATGCAATCTAACATGCCCTAATGGTAAACATAGCAGGGCATTTAGTCATGGCTTATATGGAGAAAGAGGGGAGCCACAACCAAGAGGGAATGCTTTACGACATAGATCATAATTCATGTTAGATTGATTTCTTTCTCTAAGGTCATAAACACATTAAAATGCAACACACACACACCACACACACACACACACACACACACACACACACACACACACACACACACACACACACACATTAACAAGAGAAAAATGCTATTTGTTGCTTTCATCCCTTCATTTATCTTCATTAAACCAAATTGGAAACCAATCTGCAAGAGTTCCCAGACCATCGAATGTATCATTATTGACTTTTGTTGGCACAGTACCACACCCATGTATGAGTAGCTACACCCAGTGAGCATCTTTTTGGTTTGCTCAAAATTCCTACTACATTAATCATACATCACTCAGCTGATAGATTAGTGCTCTTGAGCAAGGACATAATTCTCACCAGGGTTTTGTTTTAGTCACTAAAATCTCTCTTCTTCATCTTCTGACTGTCCAGCCCCCAAAAAGCAGTTGAGTTCTTCACTGCCATTTGTTTGCCCTGGGTTTTGCCTCTCAGGCTTCACATAGGTTGACCTACATTATTAGTGTAGGTTGCTACAATTAAACATCAATTAGAGATGATTTACATTTTATTATTTATTATTTAACGGGGCACATTAATAAACATGGCCACAAACTCTAAAATGAGAATATAAGGCAGTACAAGAGACACTTCCCTTTGTAGTAAAGATATACAAATACAACACTATCAAATATTTATTAAGTAAACAAAACATATTATTTTGGTTAATGCACTATACATTTTTTATTTTATTTATAAGCACCTTTAAAGTCAGCCTAAGAATCGTTACAAAACCTAAATTCATGAAAAAAACATGTCATATTCATCCAGAATAAGTTAACAGTCAACAGCGCATACTACCCTAGCCTCATGTTAGACCTGAACTTCACATGTGGTGAACCTAAAAAAGCTTCCTCCTTTATAATCTTTATCTTCCACATCAGTCAAGGTACACTGAGCTCCATAGAGTAAACACGCTACAGAGTGTCGAGCCATTGTACCAGCCAGTTCTTGACCTAGTGCTGACTAGCTGACGCCTCAACAGCTGAGAAAGTGTTGACATTCAGATAGCTAGGTTGCATGTCTGCTCACCATATCAACACTCAAACGCTCAATATTGCCCCTGGCAACATCTGACCCTGTTTTTCTGCTTCTTAACACATAAATAAAACCATTGGGATCCTTGGTGAACTGAGATATGGAGATGATAGTGCAAATTATGTAATTATATAGACGTTGGTGATCCCCTGACTTCTCCTCTAGCTCCACCTTGAGGTGGACATTTGTGGTTTGAGTGAAACAGCTATTGCTTGAAGTTGTGTCTGTAAGAAGTTTAGATCCTAACATGAGTCAAATAAAGTGTATCTATCAATCTATATTTAGACACTTTACTACCAGCTACCATTTCATTATACAAGCCTGTTTTGTGTATATATGAATTATATATAAACTCATCCATTCTCTGGTGTATAAGCATAAGCCTCTGGAAGTTTTAAAAAGCTCAAGTCATACACCAAGTACTTCTCCATGCTGTATTATATGTAATGTCACATGTTCATAGTGAAATAACATAGAATGATCTGCTGCAACCACACCTGTAGACTGCACAGGCATGGGGCCCAGCAGCCCAGCTTAGAGGTGTTGTTAATAGCCATAATTACTCATGAATATTTATAATTACTGAATGACAGAAGATTATTCTCCATCACTGAAACTTGAACACACACACTGTGCTCGGTTGAATGAACTCCCACTGAGCTCATTTATCCACTGAAAATAACTTTTGGAACACATTTGATCATCTACAGTTAAACCTTTAACACCTGTTAGGGCTGCCTTTTGAGACATCACTCATTTCCCATTAAAAATACAGCAGTGTGCATTGCCATTGTTATTTAAACCTCTCTCTGTAGTTCACCGGTCGGTCCACGCTGCCTGAATCCCTTCGCTCTCAGTGGATGTCTTCCAGACTAATATATGGCAGTGAAAACAGTGCTTGCGTGCTGACTTTTAAAGGCTAAAACTGCTTGGTGCAAATGTCATTTGGCCAGTGTGATGCCCAGGGGTCACCTCTCCTTTCCCCTCCTGCCTTTTTTCTCTTAGGTACAAAAATCATCTTTTCAAATGGCAAATCAAACCATGTTTTATTCACATTGTAAATTACACTAAAATGACCAAACACAGGATAAATGAAGACAATGCCTCTCCACCCCAGCAGCAGATTTCTTTTAATCATTCAAACCTTTCTCGCTTTAGTGAGAGAAACTCAGATCATCCTACATATTTTTGCTTTACATGGACTTTAAATTATCTTAATTTGTGGTATTTCCAAGCAAATACTGACTGACGTTTGTGATTGTGATTAAATCAGCGTATATATCTGCCACCCCTTAAAGTCTCCATGCCACCCTCTGGCCAACCCAGGAATATTTCTACTTATCTTGTTATATTTAAAATTTTCGTTCTTTTTTCCTTCGTTATTTCAACGTAAATCTTCTTAAATTCAAACTGTAATGTCACTCACAGATTTTCATTTTACACCATTATTATTATTATTTTTACTAATAATCTGCCTGCTTCAGTTACATTAACTAACTCTAATACTATCTTGATCAACATTTCTTCTTTTTTTCTTCTTTTTTTCCAGACAACCACTAACATTTTTCCTCCAGTTGTCTTACAGCTATTAGTCACAAGGAGCATCAATAAACTTTAGATATGAGTTGTTCTTCCTGGTATGACTGGCATGGTTTCTGTTAAGATGTGTTTATGAATATATCTCTTACTAAATGTTATGTCTTTATGGATTTGAATGCTTATGTTGAAATATACTGAGATACAATGATCTTTGTAGCTTTTCGTGATACTCACTGTGTGTCCCCATGCAGCATCTGTCTCTCTCATAGTGTGTCAGTAAGTCTACACACAGACTCTCCACAGGAGGGTACTGTTTGCTGATGTTGATGAATAAAGGTTACAGAGTGCAGCTGACATCATGATAATGTGTTGCTGCTATTGAAAATGAAACATGTACACTATCCTCAGCTGTTATTGTTTTAACAGCCTGCAACAAGCACCCCATTTTTTTCTTTAGAAGCCTAATTATGCCTCATTTTGAACTCCTACAGCCCTGATCCTGGTCTCCACCACCAGGGGGCTCTTTGCAGTTTCCTGTCAAAAGGTCCGTATTAATCTGCTGCAAACTGGGGGTGTGGATGACCCTGGGGAAAAATATGGTGTTAAAGTAAGTTGAAGAAATGGAATTTATTATTATTTAAAAATGAATGAGTAAGAGTTTGCCGACGCTACTGTGCTGACCTTTATTTCACAAAAATTCAACATGTATTATTCAACATACATACGTTTTTTTAATCTAATTTAAAATGATGTTTTTTAAAAATGTTGCTGTACATGTTGCCTATATGGATGGAATAAAATGAACAAGAACATTTCAAAATGGCACTTCATTTCAAAAAGGTTGCTGACACCTGCAATGGGGGGCGGATCAAGAGAAATATTCAAGGCAGCATGGCATTTGCTTGGAAAATCCCCCAAATGCTGATATTTGCAACTGATTAGAAATCTATAAATTGTTTTGATTCCAAATCTTCAGACCAAATACATATCTTTTTTTACATCGACCTTAAGCCTGTCACTCAGTCTAAAATAAGGCCATAACGAATCATGAAACCACATGTGCTAATGTCTGGGTTTTCATTAACACTTTATTTGAATCTAAATTAATGTGTTTAATTAGACAGGAAATGACGCCATACCTGGAGTTGCACGGCATTTTTTTAGGCCTCCACTGTACATCTGCCTTTGAAAGGATTCAACAAAAACCTTGTGTACCTGTAAAAGTGGTGTATGTGGTAACAATATTGTTAAATTTCTTATATGATGGCATTTAATAACTTTCAGAATTACCTGCTTTGAACCTTTTCAGGTTTATAAATTTCACAATCTGGGTTTAATTGCGCAGATGCATCTACAAAGCAGAATAATCAATCAATCATCTTACAGTAAACATAGAACAAACGATGAATGCCTGTTTAGAAATGATTACTAAATCCTGTGCTGTCTGTTAGGGCACTTGGTGTAAAACTAAGACAGCATGAAAGAGCTATGATCAAAGCAAAACACCATGAGAGGAACCCACATAATCTTTCAACTCTTGTGACATACCGATGAGTTATAGCACATTGCTGATCTTAAGGATGATAAGAGTAAAGGTGGGGAAATTTATCTATGAAAAAAACATGAGTAGGCAGACATTTACTTGTTTAGCGGAAATAGAATTTCTGTGGTAAGGATTTTTGTAAAGCTCTTTTCTAATTTTAATCACTGCTTTTCAGTTTGAACAGTTGATCCTTTGGCTACATCAGTTCCCCTAATTTCAATACTGTGAAAATCTTTTTCTGAGGTAGATTTGTCTTCATCTGATCGGTTGACCTTTTACACTTCAGCTGGACAGCTGTGGGCTTGCAAGATCCTTCACAGCAACGCAAGGTTCAAACCTTGGTCCCCAAAGTGTAAAGTGTCAAGATCAAGATCACGATAAACAGCATTAATGATGCTCTTAAAGCCTTCTGACTGAAGTCAGTGAGGTGAGAACTGAACTTCCTGTGCTTTTACAGTTAAGCACTGAGAGAGGAACATGCAGCTTAAAGTATGCAAGTGTTTCTCTGTTTCTCCGTCTCAAAACATACGACAACACACAAATGCACTTGTTGTTGTTCCTACTATACTGTTTGTGTCGCGTTTTTAAACCAGGCAGAAGCAGAAGTCTGGCCTGCTTTTATCCTCCCACTGCAGCTCTCAAAGAGCAGAACAGCCAATGTGCCCTGTTAAGAAAGGTATTGCCTGGCCCTGCATATCAAAAATAAACAGCTCTACGTGATAATAGGATGTCAATTCCCGTAAAATAAAATGTAATTAACTTAAATTCCAGGTCATTATATGAAGCTTAAACAACGAACTTGCAATCGCTGGCAGCGTTTTTAATAGAGGAACTAACTAGTACACAAAAGTTCAAAAAGTTCAAAACACTCCCCCGAGCACAGCCGTGCTTCTCTTCTGGGGGACAGCTGGCACAAGACAAAGCGAACCAGACAACAAACATATATTCCAGTCCACCAGACAGGACTGACACTGAGTTTAGTTATTTATAGCTCCCCACAAGGTCCATTTAGTAGCTGTTCTGGAGATTTTGATCGCAACACACGAGCTATTAATGTTTTTCTGATGCTGTCAAAGATTTCTTTACAGTAGTGTTCAGGTCTAATTAAAACCGTGGAGAAACACACACAATGCTAAATCTCTCTGTCAGTTAAATCTTTTAAGACACTTGAAATACTCCACTTTGTGTCTGATATGGGTTGTAAATTTTATGACATCCTGGAAATGGAAGTTTCCACATCACACCCGTGTTAGCTGCATATCGGACAGTTTACTGGTTATTTGAGGATGGGTTCACTTTTGGTAAATATTGATTGTTTTTAGCGCTGTGATGACTTCAGCGACCTTTTTATGTACCAGAATGAATAGGGATTATTTGAGTCAACAGTGGTCTCATACTGTAGCAACCTCACACACACATACGCACACAAACACATATGCACATCACACCTAATCAGCATCAGATATACTTTTTTCTTCAGAAATAATTTGTTCGTTGCAGCTGCTCAAGATGCTCACACAGCATTAAGAACAGAAGTAATAATTATGTTACAATATCTAACAATATATCTAGAAATAACGTAAAAAATATTAAATAGTAAAATATAACAAAAGTCTAAGTATATACATTATAATACAATATTTGACAATATATAGAGATAGAAGTAAATGTCTGCTACAGTGTATGACCGATAAAGGATGTGAATTACACAGAAATCATACACTTTTTTTCTGCTTGTCTGTTTCTATAAAACATCCACTTTATCTCTTGGACAAAGTTACAGTCGACTCCACTCAAAACTGTGCACTCTGCAGAATAAGTGTAAAATTTACATATTCAAAGATTGTGGACACAATTAATTATTAAATGCAGAGTATTTTAATATGCATCGAAACATGGCTGGAGGAGATCTTTAACTTTACCAAACCAAAACTTTGTGATGTTTGTTGCTCTTTTTTAACATGACATACATTTCTTTTTAAAAAGAGTAAAATATTATATCACAAAGTACTAAATTACTTATCAGCTACTAATTGTGATGCAGTTTTTTCTCATTGTTTTCTTTGTGTGCAGCAAATCAGGTTAACCATTTACATTTGAAATAACAGACTGATTCTTACCCTGCAGTGTGCGCTCTCACTGCAAAGATTATTTTCATTCTACAGTTTCCTACAACCATTCAGTTCTGTAAAATGTTCTCTGAAACAAAATGAGTCCTCCTTTGATTCAAAATGAAACCGAGGTCAATCTTTTGTGACTTTCTAATGAGAATTACACTCAGTTCTTTGAAAGCAAAATAACCAAAATAAGTTCCTGAAATCATAGAGCCTAAAGTCATTGTCATTCCATTTGAGTCACAGTGAACTTAAGAGACTCTGTTTTCAGTAACTGCTCAGAGAAAAGAGGAATTCATTCATCCAAACCAACATATGCATACACTTTACAGTAATTTCTCTTAGCTGGGGAGCAACCTCCTGCATATCAGAGTGGTTTTGGTATTTGGGCAACCTCATATGCTGAGCTGTTCTATTTGTAGAAAGAAGAAGTACAAAGAAGATGACAGTTTTTTTCTGCAAACTCCAGGGGACCTTCTGTCAAGTTCTCATTCTATGAATCTTATGAACTGTGTCACATATGTGTCCCCGCCCCTCCATGCTAGTAAGGGCGTATAACTCTCCAAAATATTTCCTTTCTCGTTCACTCTCAGTGAGCAGTGACTGTGTGTGACTGTGAATGACTGCAGGTTGTGGGTGTGAGAGTGCCTCAAACCCACTTTGTTGGTTTCTTGGTTTCAGTCTTTCCGTCAGTGCCAGGCGACATGGTTGGCAGTAGATCTCTGCTTAATCTTTTGAACTGTAAAACTTTAAAATGTTCTTCCTACGCGAGCCACTTATACGTTTTCATCCTTGGTAAGTGGGCTTTAGTTCTTGCTTTTGTAATCTGTTTGTTTTTGTAGGGTTTATTCATTTTTTATTGTGATGAACTACAGCAGAAGTCTGCTTTTATCCTCCTACTGCAGCTCTGTTACTCTGCCTTTCATACATGGAAGTTGCTTCAAAAACACTTTGACCTGAAACACTTTGTCTTATTTTAACCATGTATTCTTCTTCCTCGGTACCTCGTAGTTTCTCTGATGTTTTTAGTGTTTGTTCTTTGTAAATGAGGGTTCTCCTTCATTCTCAGGATTTAAATAAAAATTCTAATCAAATTCAGTTTGGAGCCCTATAGAGGATCTGAGCTGGTGCTTTATTATATATATATATATATATATATATATATATATATATATATATATATATATATATATATATATATATCAGACAACTGTATTAATTGTATTTAGTTTTCAAGGCAGATTTTGCCTTAAAGCTACTTCTGCTGTTGTTCCCATTCCAGGTCTGATCCTTGCTTACGCCACTACATTCTCCTATCATGTTCAAGCATATTCAGGTAGGCTTATTTTACTTTTTCTGCATAAATACTTTGATAAATATGAGTCACAAATATGAAATGAATTTCCTATAAGATAAAAAGTAGTAGCATATTTTTTCCACTGTGAGACAAAGCCTTCTTGATCATCATGATCTAGTTTCATTTTATGTTCCAGTGAATTGCAAGACAATGAACTTTTCTTCCAAATATGAACACTGTGGGATTCACTCAGGTAATGAAAACACATCTGAGTCATGCCAGGTTGAATCATCACCTGTAAAATCAGGTTAGAGACTGGAAAAAGTAATTTTTAGGCTTGACTATTACTGTCCATTGCCTCTGTTTTAGATGGAGTCCGTGATTTACATTGTTTTGGTAAATATAATTCACGTGGTAAACAAAACTGTGTGTGGAAACCTGGAAACCACGCAACAAAAAAGACATACACACTCATCATACAACAGCCGTAAGTACATTTACACTCTCCACTATCTAGCACATGTGACATTATACAGACTTGTCAACATATTTAAAAAACATCGACAAACATCAGATTTTTAAAATGCTTTCTCCTTCTAGGACCAAAAAATATTGCAAAGCTCGGAGTAACATCACAGAAACCTCTAACTATATATTCTTTTATGACAAACACAACATGACCGTGGAAGTTTTTGAAAACAGCGAGTCAACAAATTGCACAAAAGCAGTTTTCAGAGGTTCACCAAAGACATACACACGTGAGTCCACAAAAATGGGTTTTTACTGGCAAGTTGTTTCTGTTTTTCTCTGATTGATGATGAAGCTCTAACAGATGTGAATATAAGTGAAACTTTTTGGGTATTTCAGTGCGATGTGGTCCTCCAAATAATGTGAAATTCAGCCGCCACTCTGGTAGACTAACTGTGACTGTGACATGGCCACAGGAAGACATAAAGTTCATCAAGTATTACTCTGTGAGATATAAGGCACTGGGCAGCCTGTCGTGGAACAAGGTCAGTGTTACATTCTTAATATTAAATGTCTCTAAGACTGAAGTTAAAGCTTATAAATATCTGGCAGTTTGGTTAGATCATCTTACTTCTAATGTAATAGTGCAGAAACTAAAGATAAAGAGAGATTTATAATATTGAGGCTGGGAAATGAACATACACTCATCATTGCGTACTATATGAAAGAGCAGATTTGTCCTCTTTAGGAAGAGGAAGAAAACTATGCACAAAATAAATGTCTCCCTCCCACTCTTTGTAAATTTAAATCTGCTGTCCATCAAACGTGAGACTCTTGATACTTGATAGGTTACAGGCATACTGTTAACCATATTCACCGTGTTTAAGGTGTTGGGTTGCTAACTTTTGCCAATTACTATTATATATAATACACATATATATATGTATATATAATATATGTATTTTATTATATATATTATAACACAGGGTTTTTTTTGTCAGTAATTTGAAGTCTCAACTCAAGATACACCAGGATGATAAACAGGGTTACTTTCTAGAGCTTTATAAATCTCCCTCCAGAGATGCAGAAGATTTTAGACAGCTGTTTACATCAGCTGAGTAGTACTCAGTAATGGCAGGAAATTGAGTGAATGTCTGTGGTTGTTTGTTTTGTGTCTCTATATTGATTTCCTCTGTGATACTATACTCAGGTCTCTATGAAAATAGAGTTCTTGATCGAGATTAAAGGTTATACAAACTATAAATTAAATATGTATTGCAGATGTTTCAGATAAATCCTTCTGACATTCGTTGATTTCTATTTCGTTCGCAGCCACCCGTGCAATCCCAAAATGGAGAGCACTGTACAGTGGATAATCTAAACTCCTCACTGGTCTACACTGTACAGATACAGTGCGTCACTAATGAAAAATGCACACAGTGTGTATGGAGTGAACCCTACACCGTCCCATCAGGTTAGTTTGCTTTGTACTTTACTGGTTTCAACTCAATATAGCATTAAAAAGTAGCTGGTTGTATTTATTGTGTCAATTGTGATAAGATAATCATACTTATCATCTAATTAACAACAAAACCTTGTAAAAACCAAATGTTTTTAGTGTCCACTATGAAGCTGAGTTATTGTTTCTTATTTCACTATAAGTAAATGTCTTTCAGAACTGACAACGCAGCCTGTCATTGTCAACCTTCATGATACTGATATTGCAGAGAATAAAGGCCACCGGCTGCTTTCTTTAACCTGGAAGGTAATCTTTTCAAATGCATCTCCTCAAATCTTCCTCCCACAAGAACTTGTAATGAAGAAAATATCTTCACTGTAACCATATCTGATGTTATTCGGATCCTAAAATGACCTTGTTTGTTAGTATCCTGCCAAAGAGGTGCATGATGGCTACAACCTGACCATTAGGAAGGCATCGGGAGAGGGCCCATGTGATTGGAAGAAGACCACCCATACTGAAATCAGACTGATTCTCTCCTATTCATCTTATCATCTCAACATCAGTGCTGTGAACAATGCTAGCACCTCCCCAGTTGTGGGCAGGATAATACCACGACGAGAAGACGGGCCCAGTGAGTACTCATTTGCATAGCGGTTGTTGCACAGTCATTTGAAAACAGTTTTAAAATGATATCAAACTTTAAAACAGGTGCTACTTTTGGATGTACAAGAATCTATATGAAGGGTTCATTTGTAAAAACAGATATCTTTTTGCTCACTCTTATCAAACTGGTGTTGGATTAATCATTTTAAGAATAGTGTTTATCTGTTTTTACTAATGAACTCTGTACATAGCCACCAGAATTAGAAGATTCAATTTTTGAAACTCATAAATTTGTCCTCACAGGTATGGGAGCTGGCAAGCTGAACGTGACAGTTCACAGCAATTCATCTTTTACAATCTACTGGGAAGTTAATCTCATCAGAACCTATGTCTGCTATTCTGTGGAGTGGATGAAGAAGGGACATAAAGCAGCGTACATATCTTTTTATGAGGATAAAAACAACTATAGGACCATATCTTCTTTACCAGGTGTGCCATTGTTAAAAAAAATCTGGTCTGTCCCTCAGAAAGTTTGTTCACATGCTTTGAATTTGTTTTTTTTAAATATGTAAAAAGGTAAGTTGTGCACAGATCACCCAATATTTTTGGGAGTGAAGGAAGTGCTACGTTTTTTGTACAATGCAGAGGAACCAGATTTTGGATTTGCATCCTGAGTCTCGCAGTGCTTGTTATGTGTCAATTCAAAGCAGAGGAAATTTGATATGGGAAGCCAGGATTTGCATCCTGAATTCCCATGAATTGTCATGTTTAGACATCAAAAGCACTTTAGTTAGGGGTTAGGGAAGGACTGTGGTTTTCGGTTACATGTTCATAAACTGAACATGTCTCGTCTTGGGCTTCTTGGACCAAGACTACAATGTGTCACCTAACCTTAAGGTTTGTCTTATGGTTACTGTTGCTATGAGAGGATATAAGAGTATAAACAAAGGAGTGAACATTTTGGCTGTTTAAACACTATGTGATTGCCAGAAACATTCATTTAAAACAATTCTTCATTATGTTGTTAGGAATTTAATTCAGGTTGCATTATGTTTCTCAGAAAACATATTTGCAATTTCTGGACGACGGCTTTGACTTTGGCATGTGATGAAATGTATTTTGTTTCCTGCATCTGAGATAATCTGCTTGGTTATTTTAAATACCCAGAGCCTTTGGAACCTTATAAGAGATATAGCATCACCCTGCACACACGACCAAACAAGGACACCTGCAACATGAAGCACATCAACAACAGTGAGAGCACCTATGGCAATAAACAGTTCTACTTCATTGAAGGATGTAAGTCACTACCTTTCTGGTATGTCTAATGTTATTGGAATAAACAGTCTATCACCTACTAAGACTAATGCTTATTGTATAGAAAGTTAAAGAATTGTACAAATTGAAATGTTGACCTGCTGATTGTGAGGAAAAGTCACAAATTTTCCAATATAAACCCGCTGGTGGCGCTACAGGAAGAGTCAAGCGATCACCAGAGTCATTAGGATTCATCTTCTTGGGAACATGAATGTCTGTACTAAACGTTCGTAGTAATCCATCATGTAGAGATATTTCACTGGATAAATGAACATTTTGACCTGCTGGTGGCTCCGTAGGAGAGGTTAGGAGATCATTGGGTCACCTTATGGCAGTTCATCCAACAGTTGCTGAGATATTTCAGTCTGATACCAAAGTGGTCGATATTGCTATCCCTAGAGCTCACACACACACACACACACACACACACACACATATATATAATAGGCCAGTACTGATAGTTTCCTCCCCTCCTGTCCACAACAAACAAATCTGACTTTCTGATATCATCCCAAAGCTCCCATCAGCGCTCCCACAAACATCAGCAGCCACAACGTGAAGCTGAACTCAGTGGTGCTGCAGTGGTCGTCCATCCCAGAGGAAGACACCAGAGGTTTCCTATTGGGTTACATAATCCACTACACTGAGTACCACAACCGGGGGACGGAGAGAAGTAAGCCTTATTCACCTTAAACTAAGTCAATTCTCCCGTATTCAACTGTATAGACCAGACAAATAACTTGAGTTCAGTGGTAGAAGAGAATCGAATCAGACACATTTCACAACCATTGTTTGCCTGCAGTTAAATAAAGCCTCTAAATGCATCAGTGGATTTCCTGTCTGTCGGCTGGTTTGTTTACCACCCCCTCAGTCTTTAGATGTTTATGAACAACACTGTCAGACTGAAATTCAAAGGCTGACAATTTACACAAACAAGGTTCAAGTTACTACAGCATTAGCAGGTGGTGGGAGGCTTTAGCAGCCTGATACAGAATGTAATAGTTTGGGTTAGGGTCAGGGTTAGGACCAAAGCTGTGGACCAACCGAGTGACCGATATTGGCTGTTTTCCCAAGCGTAAATAATCACACAGTATTTGGAAATTCAGTTCAGCTTTAAAGCAGATGTGTCTTATGTAATATGCTGACACCTATCACCCTTTTATTGCAGATATTACAGTGGATCCAGAGTTTGACAGCTATGAACTGGGGGATCTCGAAAGTGGCATGGTATACGAAGTCCAGATATCAGGATTCACCCAGGCAGGAGCAGGAGTACGAAGCACAGCGGGCCTCTTCAAAACCAACAATGAAGGTTCAAACAAACAACTTTTTAACCATTAATAAATCCGAACATTTCTGATACTAATATTTGATTTTTATGCCTATTTCTTTACATAGGATATTCTAAACTCATGGGTCCCATCATAATCTTTGCTGTTGGGGCCATTGTGCTGATATTTGGATCTCCAATAATTAAAAGGTACAGCACTGTCTCACATGTATGTCACTAATCTTTAACATGGACAAATATTTACTATATATCTAATCTACTTAATCTAGAGCAAAAGTCCTTCTGTGGCCGAGCATACCTAACCCTGGAAACAGCAATGCGATGCAGAAAATAGAACGGCCCTGTGAGCTGGTAAGTGTCTGTTTTTGCCTTCAGAAAACATCATTTTTAACATTGTGAAAGCCAAAGAAAACCCCAAGCAACCAGCCAGAATGTGAAGAGATCTAATTAAGTGAATGAGGACATACAGACACACCGCTGCAGGACAGGAGACATGAGAATTTAAAGGTCCAGGTATGTTGTCTGTTGTTATAAGTGGATGTTAAAGATACTGTTTTTATTTCACATTTAGAAACTGCTGGAGTCCATCAACATTCTGAAGGTGGAAGAATGGGATACAAATAGTCTGCAAATACTTGAGAAAGAAGAAGAAGTGATCCCTGCTAGCACATTAACATCACTACCACTTCTCCATGCCACAGAGGACGAGGAAGACTCATCAGAAATCATTTGTAACTGGTTCCATAGAGACGCAGAGGGTTCAAGTGGAGACATCCTACCTGACATTACTGCGGAGACCTTCTCCGGCATCCAGCCGACAGACCTCCAGATCTCTCCTCTTGCCTTTACGTGTGGATATACAACAATGGAAATGTTCCAGCAGGGAATGCTACCGAATACACCAACAGTTACTCAAGCCATGGAAAGCAAAGCAGGGGACATGGAATTGACCGTGGTGAAATCACGATTGGACTATATAAGGCAATTTAGCACCAGTCCCGTCTTGGACAACAATGAGGATATATCCATGATTTTGTGAAAACATTTTAGAACGGCACTCCAGAAGACGCAGGGCAGTCCTTGGGCTCCAGAGGTGCCCTGTGAGGGGCCGCCGTACTGTTGTTGCAGGTCGACAGCATGAATTTAAATAATCAGCACAACTACAAGTGCTTCTCTTCTGGGTGCCAGCTGGTGCAGAGCAAACCAAAGTAAACCAAATAAGAAATAACGATCCAAGCGCACACCAGGATACCAGGATTGACGCTGTTTTATTAGATTAAAAACAAAAGACAGAGAAGCAAAGAAGGCCTCTCGCATGTTGCTTCATCAGATTGACTCAACTGCCGTCAGGTGTGGGACACTTGATGGCAATTTAACCTTTAAAACTTTGTTTATTTCATGTAATAAAACAGTGTCAACCCTGGTATCCTGGTGTGTGCTGGAATGTGTTGGAATGTTGTGCAGTATTCAGCTGCCAAAATGACTGTAGAGATAGAAACTTAAATACTATAAAGTATTTAAAGACAGATATGTATCATTTAAAGTCCCTCCTCCTACCTCTATACAATATCTACCTGTATATCTGCACTACTTAAACAATCTCTTCCCTCCATGCACGTTATCTCTGCTCCTGTACAAACTGCATTAAACATTACTTGATATACTTCTATGAACATACGGTATCTCCTTTCCATCTGTAAATCTGAATACCTCATGATGGAAACACGACTGACTGCTAACACGCTCACAACACAACGCTATCATGATGAAGTCTAGCAGGTATACTGTTTATCATGCAAACCATCTTGCTTGCATTAGCTAATTGGCACTTAACACGAAGCCCAGGCGAGGATGATGGGGACGTTATTTGGTCATAAAGCAACGTATTGGAAGAAGTTTTGACCTGATGGTGGAGCTAGAGGCAAAGTTAGGGGGGGTCGCCAGTGTTAACAGAAGTCATGCTGAGGAGGACATGCTTCTCTGTGCCGAACAGGCCTTTTTCACAGCGGACATTTTGACATCTCAACATTAACGATGGCCCCATAAAGCAGCTTAATGGAACTTCAGACAGTGCAGCATTTTTTCTTTTCCTACTTTGACCTGTCAAAATGCCTGCCATCAAAAAGGCCTATCCATCCAGTAGATGGGGAGTCAGGGGATCGCCAAAGTAGGATTCATCCTCTGGTGAGCATGAATATCAACAAAGATTCATGGCAATCCATCCAGTTAATGTTGACCAACCAAAGAGACCAACACTGTCATCCCTACAGCCACGTCACATAAAACTACTAACACTTTTTTAGCTTAAAAACGTATGGATGGAGGCTCAGAGGCAGTCATGTCCATAGAAAGTGTGCTTGACCCAGATCAGGGGTTCAAGACACACAGAAGTCCACAGTGAAGCACTTCTTGGACAAGTTTCAAATGCAATAACACCCGAACCAAGAAAACAAAGGCTGATGGTATAACAAGGGGAATAAAACAAAATAACTGAATGAAAAGTCTCTTTATTGAGTGTTTTTGGAAACAGATCAGATGTATTGTTAGATTCAAATTGAGGAGGATCACATACATACATCCAAGCTCTTCAAAAACAGTGTTATCAAACCTTTACATCAAGTCCCAAACACAGACATCGAGTGCCGATCCCCCCAGGAGCAAACCGTCAGCCGGTTCTACAGTATATACCGAGCATAGCGCATATAAAAAATAAAATTCTTTACATACTGTCAGTTCTGTTGGAAATGCTTTTTTTTTTTTTTTTACTAAACTTTATCACGAGTTCACCACTTCAAACTGAAGCCTGTGTACGTAAAAAAGCAGGAAAAGAAAAGAAAAAAAAATACAGACAAATTAGGTTTGTAAAAGCCATACAAGTGGAATTTGGCGAGGACAGTCATAAAGTCTTTACGTCTCATTTTAAAAGTAAAGCTTTTAAGATGAAGTAAGCTTTCTTAGAAACTTAAAAAAACCCCACTGATCTCAATCTGGGGCCAGTTTGCACAAAGACTCTTTTGACACAATCACAATAATGCAAACGGCAACACCAAAAATAACAGAACGTTAAAACAAACAAAAAACAAACACAAAAAGTCCCATCAATGTTCATTCTATTCTGCTATTAATTACTAAAGACAACAGACAATACTTTAATATAACATCTCATTAGTTTTATCTATTAAACATCATGAACAATAAATTCAGGTTGCATCTGTCAATAAGTCTCCATATTTTATTAGAATATTCTGTACAATCTTAGTCTAGGCACTTTTTGACCCTTCTGTGCTTGCAGTTCGTTGACCTTTGACATATATTGTTCAGTCTCATCTACACAGCCATTGCAAGCTTCTGTTTGCGTCTCGCTTTCTTGAGCAATATGAGCCAACAGACATTTTGCACACCACCGTCATTTTACAGTATAGGCCTGTGTTGTATCTATAAAACAGTAAATTGTTTTTATCTCACAGCATTACAACAATAACAGGTAAAAGAACATGATACATTGTGATCTTGTTGCGACTACTTGTGATCAGAAATGTAAAAAAAAAGCAAGTAAATGTACACCCATAAAACAAAAAAACAGGAAATAAAACACTTTATTCATGTCGACCAAATGAGAAATGTATCTTTTTTTCACTAAAATATATTAGCAACAGGTTCACAGAAACAGTAGAATACAATTCTGCATTCTCATAATTACAGCACAAGTCATAAAATCAACACCGTACATTATGTAGGACACTCCATTTCCCAGAGGATGGAGAAAAAAATGGAGCAAAAGAGGAAATAAAAAAGGACACTTCACGGACCAGGTAGATTGAATCATCCTTTAACACCACACAAAGGGCAAATGAGCATTTTAGCATGAGCAGGAATCCTGTTTTTATTTCATCCATACACTGAGAGGGGCCCTCATGTTCTTACACTTGGGTTCCTTTTTTTTTTTTTTTAACCAAGGAACATGTTTTAAATATGTAGTATAGAAACAGACAGAATATAGGAAGTTGTTGTCACAGCCCCACGGCAAAAACAGTTACACCCCATGAGACCTCAGTGAGGCGTCGGTAATGAACTCATACTCAGCTGGCTAATAAAAGCTCATAGGAACCTTGTTTTGATTGGTACTTCCTTGGCCTTTTGGTGTGCTAGTGAGCAACAAATACTAACTCTAGATACTGAACCTAACATGATGATGGCCTGGATTATACTACAATCACTTTAATTTATGTATTGACAAAATGCAAGTGATGCAACACATAGCATCAACCAACTCAGTGCTAGCAAAGCTCTGAAAACAGTGGCGACTCAACTGGGGGCTCTAAGATACACATTACATTACATAATGTAAAGCAGCCCTACAAATGAATTCATTCAGTTTCCACTAAAACTGAAGTTACTTTACTGTTACTGTTACAGACAGGAGCAGATGGACATACACATTATTGGATAGTAAGAGTTATTTCCTATTTTAATACTTTGTATTAAATGCTGCCAAGCTTCAAATGCGTTGCAATCCACAGTAGCTGCCAGTCCAGGCCCTTTTTTATGCCTTAAAGTGCATTTACGGACGCATTGAGCAGATTAACTCACTTTTCTGCAAAACGACACACTTTCTTATCTTTGTGTGTCACTGACTCATTTGGGGATTTTTCCTGTAACCTATCTGTGTAGGCAACCTTGTTGCATATTGTTGTTTGCAATATTTGGATAAACATTTCTTTTCTTAAGAAAACAGCATGATGTTACTGGAGGAGTAATATCAACGTAACCAGGGACAACGCTGCGATTAAAATCTTCATATTGCTGGACAAACACGTGGAAACTCTTCCTGCGGGATTTGGGCCATCGTGAGAAGCTCTGCAGCTGGTTCAGGCGTGCACGACTTTGTAGTCTACTGGGGTACACCGCAGTTTTAGAATCTCTATAGAAAGAATAATAGGAAATGAGCTCTTCAAGTAGTGAACACATGCACAGGAGGTGGACACAGTATCACCTGTATAAAATGATGCGATCCAATAGGGCAGCCATGCCACAGTCTGAGAAGCTATTATTATTCAATTATTGTTTTTGATGGTAGTTTCTAAACCTGTAGTGTTTAGTGTAGTTTAAGATATCATAACGCAGGCCCCTGCAAGTCCTAAGGGCTTAAACAGGAAAGGTGGGTCTATCTCTGCTGCACCGAGCGCTCACTTGCCCTTTCAGTGGGATACTGAAAATGAGTTGGATTACAGGACAATTAACAATAAAATCAGGTTGTACAACAGGAGACGATGGCTGTTAGTGGTAATCTGGTGTTCATGTATGTATACGCACGCAATGGGATCATTAGAGCAGTTTCCATGGTGGTGTAATAGTCACTTGGTGCCATCTGCACCCATGTATACATCCTCCTCGTTGTGGGACTTGTAGCTGCCGTTGTGCTGGGTGCAGGGTGATGATGCCATGTCCTCGCTCAGTGTGACCGAGTCTTCTCTGTCACTTTCAAAGTCGTCCTTTTCTTCTCTGTCATAGTCTCTTTCCGCCTGAAATGAAAGGAGTAACAATCAAACCTGGTCAGACAAAAACATCCGAGCTCGGGTACTCATGATGAGGTGCTAGAGAGGAACTCAATAATGTAAGATTAAAAAAAAAAACAATGGCATGTAGATGAGTTTTCTGTCCGTCCATTAACAGAAGCTCCAACTGTCCAGTATCTGTTACTAGTATTTTATGAGGACAGGAAGACTGAAATGGGTCAATTTCAGAGCTACCTTTGAGCTTATTGTGTCGTTTGATAATGACTAATTAATCACTCCCAACCAAAACACACATAAGACACTTAAACACACATAGTTTCATATACCTTAAAGTATACAGGAATATGTTCGGTAGAACAACTCCTCCTCTAAAGCAAACCACGGCCGTACTGGAATCAGATTTGGAGGAACATATTAATCACCGCCACTGCCCGGGTACAGAACAGAGGATGTGGAGGGAGACAGGTAGAGAACTTAACAACTAATCAGCTTGGAGAGCTTTACTGAAACGAGCGTACTGCGGGGGAAATGTTTGGGACGCACTGGTCATAGGGATGGACAGCAGAGATGTTAATTACGCTGCAGTAGAAGATTAACATGTTTCTGTAGATGTTTTAATACTTTTTCGTGCAGCTGCTGTTCAACAGTGAGGAAATACAAACATTATCTACAGCGAGTGTTTGTTATTTAAAAAAACTAATGTTGGGTGTATTTTGGGTGTCGAGTGTCACTTCAGAAAGCTGTGAACTGAAGTACACGAGAAGACTGTACAGACTCTGCAGTGCAACATTTTGCAAGACTGCAGCAGTTTTTTTGAAGAGAACATTCGTTTGGCTGTCAATTGTCGTGCGAATGCTCTGATTGTTATCGACACAAAAGATGTAGTGAGATAAGCCCAAAATGTGTCACCGTTTATCTCACAGCGATCTTTATCGTAAACTTTCCAAAGTAGGTGAGTGTTTGTGTGGTTCGACTTGAGTTGGACAGAGGTTAAAACATACACTGAAGAAACAAGCTTACTGTGGAAGACAGGAAATGAGAGATGTGCATGTAGTAGGTCAGTGTTTAAAGTACTCCCCTATAATGACACAGGTATATTTAAGATGAAACGAGGATAGGACACTGCAGCATAAAGGGTTTTTTTTATAAATAAGATTTCCAAACTTTTCCTTACTGTTAGACCACATTTACAACAGTATAATTAAAAAACAGAATACAGCCAGATTAAAGTTACATCTGTGAGTTTGTTAACAACGTGCTCAACACTCCTCGAGGCAGCTGATGTGTGTTAGCTTAATGTTACACATGTCGCTCTTGTTAGAAGTCATAGTGTTGTCATGTAGTATTTAGGATTTTTTGCATTAACAGACTATTTAACGTTATTTGTTATTGTTATCTTTCAGGACTGCTCAGTATTTTTCTCCATGTGAAAAGTATCCTGAGATAACGTCTATGATTTGGCACTACAGAAGCCTTTATGTATCCAAGGAAAGTTCACCGAGAGGAAGCCTCTGATTTGCAGGAACGCTCTGGTCCCATTCACAGCTGGAAGCAGTCCAGTACAACCACAGTGCGATCTGCTGCCCACTGAGCAGCTCCACTGGAGCAGTTGGGGTTTGAGGGCCTTGTTCAAACCTCAGTGGTGGTAATGAGGGATTTAATCTGCTGGTACGGGGACTTAACCAGCAACCTTTCGATGACAAAGCTCGCTGCTCTAACCTTTAGGCTGCCGCTGCCCGTAATGTCTGTACTCTAAATCTTAAGTTATAGCCAGCATGCAGTTAGCTAAGCGTAAAGAGCCTTGTCGTCACTGTGCCGTTGCAACTTCAGTTTCTGTACAGATTAAACAAACCAGATAAAACGTGTTAACTAGGGAGCTTTAAAGGGGCTGGTAGGCCGATTTTTTGCTGGCTATAACATATTTACTGCACAGAAATAAAAGTGATATCAATCCTCTTATCTAACTCTCAGGAAGAAAAGAAATAAGCGTATTTCCCAAAATATCCAACTATTCCTTTAAATATATATCTAATGTGCCCATGACAGAGATTTCCTGAGCTGAATGTGCCATTTGTGGCTCACATCCACATGTCCACACTGAGATCGAGCGAATCAATCAATTTCTTTTGGTGATTTATAAAGAACTTTAGAACAAGCAACAACGAGCTGCTCCACAGCATTATAGTACTAGCAGTAAGGGAAGCCTGAATCCATGAAGGCAGTGAAGAAGCAGCGGATGAGTTGCGTGGCAAAAATGCATTGCAAAATAGACAATGATTGCTTACGGAAACTGCTTACAAAATGCCTCCCTGTCAGCTGGCAGGTGTTCATCGAGCACTTCTGCCAGCCATAAAGAGCTAGAGGAGGAAAACAAGGTCACTAATAATGTCTTCCTCCACCCATAGTAGGGAGAAAACCGGATGGATGGAGCTCCTTACATTCCTCTCTCCACCTCACGTCTGAGAAATCCTTAAGAGCAACAAGCTCGGCTCATTAAATAATCACAAGTGCTTTATCTGCCTGCTCAGCCAGGATAAATTGATCAGCATATTCTGGTACTAGTGAGTATCTGCATGGGGGAAGTGTTATTTCAGTGAGGAAGCTTTATTACCTTCGTTGGCTTGGCCTTGCTCTTTATCCTGTCCTCATCCTTGCGGCTCCTCTTCCTGGATGTGGAGCGGTCCTTTCTGTCCCTGCTGCGCTCCCTCCTCTTCTCTTTCTTACCTCTGAAAGAAACAGACGCAAACAAATTGACAAAGAGAAACCGATCAAAATCTTGCAGACACAAAATCACTGAAGTATATTATACAACTACAAAACACAGGAGAGACATAAGACTAACATAGGAGACTGTATAGGAACATAGGCTTGGATATGATGGATTTACCTTTTTGGTGAGGGTGTTTTGGCTTTTCTTCGAGGGCTTCTGGACCGATCCTTACTCCTCCTCCTGTGGCCCCTAATAACAGAGACAATATGAGCATATAGCAAAACGAGTGTGTGAGTACATACAATAACGATATAGAAACAGAACGGGGTTTACCCCGCGGTGCCAGATGCAGAACAACAGGAGCCAAATTCAGACAGCTAGTAGACTCATAAAGTACCTGGTGACCCCTTCTGGCATGGGCAGGGATAACAGGATGGCACAACAGTAAATAACGTTTAGTTTCCTTCCTAATTCATTATGATTAACCTTATTCTTCAGGACTGTAATATCTTTTATTAAACTCCAGCAGCCGATGGTGCAGCACATGCAGCTCAACTCACAGTCAGTGAACTGCATTTGGACTTTCAAAGTAAAAGAAATAATTTGGAGATAAATGCCTTTTATGTTGTTTGTTTCCAACACACCTCGAGCGACTTCGACTGTGTCTCCTGTCTCTGGAGCGAGAGCGCCTCTTGTGGCTGCCTCGGGAACTGTGGGAGTCACTCCTCGGCCACAACCTCTGTGGCGGTCTGCTGCAACAGGAGGAAAACAAAGTCACTGACTGGACACAATCACGATCTTACGATCACAGCATTAAGCGAGCGAAATCTAAAAAAAACACTGAGTGTTAGTTGGGCACCTGTGTTTTGAACGGGACCTTTTCCTCCGCGTCCGGGAGTGTGAACGGGAACGTGACCGCGAGGGTGACCTACGTCCCCTTCTAGACCGACTGGAGGAACGCTTCTTTATTTCCACTAGGGCGAGAGCAGTAGCCTCAGCATCAGAACGCAACAACAACATCATCTTATTACTAAAAGTAGCAAATCATAGTGTTGTACCTGGCTCTATAGCAGCAGCAATGGTAGACTGGGCTTCCCTCACCCTCTTCATCACACTTTCTAGCTCCTTAGCAGCTGCCTGTGGCGTCATCTCTGGGGGTTTTACTATGGCGTTGTTGGAATGATTAACCCTGAAAGACATAAAACAGTAAAAGGTTTTACATGAATCATGAGGAACACATTTCTTTGAGAACGATTTGTAGTAAACAAAAGTAAATAAATAAATAACAAGTTTCTTGATTTATGATGTCTGCTGCTGGATTATCTTTTAACAAAAAATACCTACTTCAGGGGTCTGTCTCCAAACATGACTCCGTTGAAGGTCAGGGCTCTGGAGACTGACTCCTGCTCAACAAACTCCACAAAGGCAAAACGTGTCGGCTGAGTCTCATCTCCAGCCATTCGCACAAACTTTACATCTCCCACCTGCTTGAAGAACTCCAACAGCTGCTCTGCAGTGGTGGTCTGTGGAAAGAAAGATGAACTTTACGACCTGTTGTAATGTCTCTTAATTCTATTCAATCAATCTGGAGTTAACTCATTCAATGGACCTATTGTAGTGATCGGTTACCCAACATCATCAGTGCTCCATGCTCCTAGAAGGAAAAGGTGACTGACAACAAGTCATGCTGCACGTCATGGCACTTTTCTAGTAGTGACAAAACGCTTATGAACAAACAGTTGGCTCTGAATAAACATCATTTCCCCTACTTGTTAAAATATCCAATGAACCCTCTGCCCTGTGGATGTAGACATGGTCAGCCTGGAAGAGACCTTTCCTATCAGGGTTGCACCGAAATTTTATTATTTATTTTCGGTTAAAATACTTTTATCACCGAAACAACACGGCCGAAACAGAAAGTTGTGATGACGCAAACAAAAACCAAGTTAAACATTTTATTTTGAATTTTATTTTATATTGTGCACTGTTGTAATGTCAGTGCTAAATAAATATTTTCATACTTTTGTAATTGATTTATTCTTTGAATTGCAATGCCTTGATTTTAGTGAGTTTAGTACACAGTCATAGCCATAAATACAATGGTACTAATAATTGGCATAATCATTTCTTTCGGTGTTTCGGTTTTCGGCCTTGGTTTCCTTATTTTCGGTTTTCGGTTTCGGCCAAGAATTTTCATTTCGGTGCATCCCTAGTTTCATCCAAGTATAAAGGTGACCTCTCAGAATAACTTTCTATTGATTTTTATGGGAACAAACCATGGCAAGAATATGCTTCTCACCGATATGGAAGCATCTGCATTTGTTATATTTCCCCATCATTTATTCAGGTTTTCCCTTTAATTACCCTCCATTGTTGTTGTCCGAAAGCTATTGAAAACACACCCATGAGCCCCACTGCGGCACTGGCTTACATGTGCACTGTAGTTAATTTATTTTGAGTCTCACATACACTGCCCTGTCGCTGGAAATACTCACTAGGTTAGGCGTGAATACAAATTTGACATTATGTTACCTGTGAGTTCAAGTTGCCAACATACACGGTCCTCCTGATCTCATCAATCTTTGACGGATCCACATTTCCCATGAGGGGGGGCTGGGCGAGCGCTGATGCTGCGGGGTCCAGACTAGCTGATATCCGATTCACTATGGGAAGGTTCAGCTGCAGGTGTAAAAAAAAACAAAACAAAAACACACACATTTACTTACATGGCAGACAAACAGACAAGACGACAAACAATATTTTAGCCCAGAAGATGCTGACTCACATTCTGAAGTGGGGCTGGAGTAGGAATTGGTAGCAGTCCCCCACCAGGAATCAGACTGGGTACTGGGGTGGCAGGTGCCAAAAGTGACAATGCCTTGGCCTCCTCTGGGATTTTCCCTGCAGGACAGAAGCAGATATTAGTGAAGGCAATAGAGGGACTCGCCTCTCTGTCTCCTCTATGTCTGCACAATTATCCCACTGTATTCTAGAGAGAAAGAGAGCATACACTTCCCCATACAGCCTACAAGTGTTCTACTGTCTACTCATGGTAAACTGGAGACCGAGCATCCTTACTTTGCTTTTATTAAATTATTCTTCTCTGTCAGTCAATCTGAATTATTATTTTCAATGAAAAAAATCTTAACTTTTTTCACAAACAAAAGAAGACTTTGTTTTGTCCTTGGTCTCTTTTCATAGATCAAAAAAGAAAGAAAAAAAAACACAATGCAGAGAATGAGTCAACACTTTGATGCATGGGTCACCTGTACTGGAAACATATTGGTCATGAACCATACGATATCAAGCATGGGCGCTTTTCCGTGGGGCGATCGTTTCGCAGTGTTGGAAAGGTGTGCAACACAAGACAACCCCAATGGCTGCATCACTAATAGCACACAGGACATCAGATACAGAAAAGAACAACAATTTTAAGAACTGTAGGAAATGTTAGCCAAGACTTAGCTACAAAAAAAACAACCAATTAGGAATTTTTGCTCATTCCACTCTGGATTAAAATCTGCTGCTTCCTACTGCTGGAGAAGAGGGCTATGTTTAGACTAATAAGAGACAAAATAACTTAAAATTCAGTTCATCATAGCTGGAGGCACTGAGCATGAATTACCATGTGTCTAACTCGAAAAGTTCTTCTAGAGCTAGGAAATATATTTCAGAACAAATTACGCCGCAAAGCATTAATGCATGTGTCACGAATTTCCAAGTTAAAAAAAGAAAGTGATGTTGAATGGAGAATGTCTGTGTTATTATTAAATACTAAACATCCACATCAGAGCTGTCATGTATTATTGTGAGGAGAAACTTCTTAATGTTGCTTTTTACAACAGATTTCAGCACAGATGAAAAAGTGCAAATAAAGTTTCTATTACTGGGTCTCACTTTTATAATGTCTAGCCCCTCGCTATGTCAACAGGAGTAGGTGACAAGAGAGTTAAGTGTTAGTGATCCTCCTAGCATCCCATGTGTGATACACATCCCACCGGTATGCCGTAGCAACCTGGACAGAATTCAATCACACACAAGCCGCAGCTGTAGCAGAAAGAGAGAGGGGGGTGGGGGTTGGACAATAATCAAAACAACAAACCAAAATAACAAATATAAACACAACGCTAGAGATAAGCAATACTGTAGTTTCTAGATAGAGACAGGAGAAAGTGGACAACATGGGAAAGTATGAAAGGAAACAAACCAAAAGAAAAGAAAAATAAATAAAAAGAGACAAGGTGTCCATCTTGGAAGGCTCAGCGGGCTATTCTCCTGGTCACATTCCCCCTTGAAGGCTGCGTTGGCCCGATCGGGGATAGTGGCTTGGAAAACAATGCCTGACTCAGGCTAGTGTAGTGTAACAGCTGGGCCAGTCTAGTCATCTGATATGCACACATAATCACACAGAAAAAACATACAAAACCAAATTAATAAACTCAGTAGCCATCCAGCACCAAGTCACGTGGACAAAAAGCATCAAGTTAGAGGTGATATCATTTTTTTTTTTTTTTTTTTTTTTGACTGTACACAAGGGAACAACAGTGGCACCAAAAAGGGAGGGAAATTTAAAGAAAAAGGAGCACCAAAAATGAAAGAGAGAGAAAGGGGATTAAGTTAGCTGTGATGTAATGGACTTATTTTGCAATTACCGTGAAACAAATAACATTAATGACAGTTTTCTTATGGAAGCTACACAAGCTACTGATTCCAGAGAATCCAGTGTTTACAGTGAGGTTAACCTAAAATAACTTGCAGCTTCAAAAAAAAAAAAAAACATTATCTAATATTATCTGTAGAAAGAAACCACCTTGTGACACCAAACAGAAACCTTGGCTGGGCACTTTAATAGAAATTAGTTTAGTGTTTAATGAGGTGATACAACCCAGTCACCTGTGTAAAAATACTTTGTGACCAATCAGAACTAGCCAATGGCACAACTTGCCAATTTTCCTTGTGAATAAAAACAAACAAACCCTGAATTCAACCAAAAACACCAAACGGTTGCACTCAAAGGGAGGAAGGACATAGCAGGTCCACTCAAGACATTTCATTTTAGAGTGAAACGGATTGCACTCACCTTCCGCACATGGCACTACTATCAAAGCTCTGTCAACAAACACAGTATTGGTGAGATGTTGCGCCACACCAACACTGGAGGGGTCTCGGTACTTTATATAACACACTTTGGATGAGAATGACAGAGGACCATTGCTGTGAAAGGAAAAGACAAACAAAAAAAAAAAAAATAAAAGGCGGGTTAGTTATTTATTACACCTATTCCTTCTTAATTTTCATGTTTTATGTGGACCGCAGAGAAGGCCGCACATCCGCGGTGTTGCCTATCTAGCTGTCGCCGGGGCAGGTTGCTCTTACTCGGGCGGGTAGAGCCGCAGCTCCTCGATGTCTCCCAGGAAACCGAACAGAGTGCGCATCTGCTCGCTGCTCACGGCCGAGGACAGGTTGGTAACCTGGACGACAGCAGTCCCTGGTATCCCGCTCATTGTGTAAAACTGATAAATGCGTTGACAATCTTGAAGTGTAGTATTTATTTATACAATATTTATTCCTCTGTCACCCCCCGCTCAGCACAGTACATCCAGGCGGGCGTCTTCCTCTTATTGTTTAACATGGGTTGACAATAAAACGTTGAGGCGCAGTAGCGCCCCCTACAGGACTGGACGGCTCATTGCTACACAAGGCCACCTCCCTACTGGCAGCACACGGTAACTGCACGTTATACGACCCACTCATTTTCCATCATGTCTTCTCTATTATATTAGTATTATTGTTTTTTTTTAAATCATATATTAGTGATTGGTCTTTTATGCTTTTAATTTAGTATCTTTAAATTATTATTATGATTCATTTATTCACTAGTTCTACCTTAATTCTCTGACTTTTTTTGGCCTTATTGCCTCCTGTAATGTTTTTAATCCTGGTTCTGGCCATGTAAGGCAGTAGTATCTATTGTTATCACCCTTGCATGATGTCAGTCAGAATTGTCAACTCCCTTTCAGCTCGGTGGAATGGTTAAAATATTTTCTTGTGACACCGGAGTTATAAAAAATAAACTACTTGTTATATTATTTGTTATTTATTTTCTCTACATAACTGAATGGACACCAAACAGTTGCCATCTTCAGATGGAGCAGGCCCTGTGTCCTTAGAAAATTGCACCCTCACCAATGTTTGCTCCTCTTTTCCATTTTTGCTGCAAAAACAATCATTAAGCTTGTGTCTGATTGTTGCCATGGCAACAAAGTTCTCACTTCAGGCTGGGCCTTGAAATAAGTCAGTCCTAATATTTATGCAACAGCTTAATTAGACTAGTCTAATCTGAGAATATAAGACCAGTCTAAGGCCAAGACTAGTCTTAAACTTTATGGATAAAGTTGTGATATCATGGGGGAGGAATCATCTTGTGTCTTCCATCCTGAGGCAGTGACGTCGACCGAACTTCACAAAGGCAGCAACACAGCAGTCTCAACTTAACTGCTTTGGCGTGGCATTCAATAAAACACTCTCTGAAGGGACACTCTGCATGATGAGCCATCCGGGTTACGTCACAGAACCCCGACCAGATCTATTAAATTCAGTCCGCATACAGATTAAAGCATTCCCACATGACACACACAACACACAACAGTTCTGAGAAACCATCAGAGTAAGGAGATGATCCAGTTGGACAAAGTGTCAAAACACAAACATACACACAGCGTCTGTCTGTCAATAAAAAATCTATTGAATTTACACACACCTGTATATGATTGATGATACATTTTAAAGGTTTATTCTGCTACTATGCTTGATATGCAGATGTCATTCAGTAAGCATTACTTTGGGTTTGTAAGAAAAACTAAAATGCTTCCTCTACATACAGTTAAACTAAAAGCATATAGCCATGCTGGAAGCTGTGTGAGGATGTAATGATCATCGCACTCAAAGTATTGGATGAAAAATGGCTACAACAGGGTAAAAAAACAACAAAAAACAGAGTACAGTTTAGCCTGAGGATGGCGCCAGAGGTACGGCCATGTTGAAAAAGGTTTATCCTCTGTAGGTGGCAGCTTATCTCAAGCTCACTGCTCTTTACAGACTGCTCTGGGTTCACCAGTCTAGACTTGGTTTTAATACATTAAAACCTGTGCAACATCATTTTACATTCTCACAGATTATTACAATCCAAAAACCTCAGCATGTTGCCTGCAGTGTGTGCAAGAGGCCTTCAATGACAAATACAACACACCAGGGAAAAGGAACAGGCAGGATGAGTTTGTACCATCCTATACACACACTTTAAATAAGTATCTGTTCCAAAAACCTCCTGAAGTGTGTTTTATTTTTAAATAAAGGCAGTGTTTTTAAGCTGTTGCAGTGCCACAAGTGTGCTCTCCATTCCCCACATCTGTATACGTCAGCCTTTAGATATCTACATACAGCACCACGATTTACCAGTGAGTACAAATTAAACTCATTATTGTGCTATTGTTGCTGCTGTACTGAACATCTCGTATTCTGTAACTAATGCAGCCCGAGTACCTCTGAGAGAATATAATTAATACTGAATACACACACACACACACACACACACACACACACACACACACACACACACACACACACACACACACACACACACACACACACACACACACACACACACACACACACACACACACACACACACACACACACACACACACACACACACACACACACACACACACACACACACACACACACACACACACACACACACACACACACACACACACACACACACAGTTGACCCGTACCTTTGTACTGTATGTACTGTGTTATTCATTTACTGCACTGGTTAAACAGAGAAACCCGGAGGACGAAATGAAGACAAAAGAATCCGTGTTAAAGAGCATTAGTTTTATTTTCCACAGGTTACTTCAGAAACAGGTAATTATGTACAAAATCTGGAATGTTGGATAAATGCATATCAATCATTATCTCACTGTGGGTGTTTCCAGAGAAACCTTAGAAATACTAGCTATACATTAAAACGAGTGCCTCTGCATTGCAATTTATTGCTGGTTTTACAATCGCAAGTCACTAATGCCATTATTAATTCTTTTCTCAAATTTTTTAGAGTATTTACAATTTGATTAGTAAGGTCTAAAAACCACAGATGACTGCTAAATAAATAAGAACAATACGGGAGCATAAGAAACAGACCGACATGGATGAAGAAAATGTGAAAACATGTTTTATCTCCCAAGATTGTCTACAATGTCAGACTGTATGTTTTTTTTTTCTTCCCATGAGTATAAAGTGACCGTTACCCCAGAAATGTTTCCCCCTACTCTTAGAAAGTAAACAGAAATCACCAACAAAATGAATACAAATATAAACAATTCATCTGTGTAAAACACTATATGTTCTGTGAGGAATTTGGGAAATGCACATCATATCGTCATTTGCCTGCGAATAAAATTTTAGATTCTGTTGCGTCACTTACAGCTACCTTTAAAACAGCGTGACTATTATTATTTAAAAAGGGACGTTTAATTTTTGTTAATTACCACAGTGTTTTCATTTTGGTGCGACAGTGCTACGAGCACGAAATATGGGTCAAACTCAACTACATACAGGAAGAGTACAGTAGATGCCACAATCTACTTTAAACGATTTGAAGGGAATACAATATGTAAAAGCAGTTCATCCAACAAACAATTCAGTGGTCACAAATGTGCTGTTAGAATTCATTGGGGCCCATTGCTTAGTATGTGAATTTCATCATTTCCATTTCTTCTGGAAATACGTCTCACTCAACAGATATTTACAAGTGAATGAATATTAACGGAGAGGAACATGAAGTGGAATTAAAAACATTTTCCTTCTGACAGTTTTTGCTTTTCGACAAACATCAGGAATGTTCTGAGATGCAGCTTTGACTGGATTAGTTTTCCCAACAGTGTAAGTTGATTATTTTGCACAGATGAACATGGGGAGTTATGGAATCTAAGCAACAAACAGTAAAAAGCCTTGGGCAAAGTGAGACAAACATTCACTTTTACACAATGCAGAGTAATCTTTTTTTTTTTTTAGCACTACCATATATATTTCCTGTGCTATTTCATTACAAAAAAAGATTCTTTTCACAATATAAAAATCATGTAAAATCATCAGGGATTACTAAAAGGTTGTGTTTTTTAAAAATGCTATTTGATGTTTTTCTGAATGAAAATAAAGGCTTTGAATATTGCTTTTAAGCCATTATGCTGCAAATGTACTCAGGAGGTTGTGAATATGTGGATATTGCTTGGGCTCTGGGGTCAAAGGTCCTCCCCTATTCAAACAGTTCAAGGTCTATGGCACTTGACAATTTACGTCTCCCAACTTTACCCTCTGTACAGCGAAAAAAAAAAAAAAAAAAAAAAAAAAAAGCGCTCCCAAGTGATGAGTAAAAAGCATGATAAAACATTTGAATAGACACAAAAGGCAAACTGTGGTCTTCTCCCATGTAAAAAATAAAAACTGCCAGATGTTGAAACCCCTACAATACAAACACTCGCATTACATCACCAATGGATGAAACATGAAGCCCTTACAAAAAGAAAAACACAACAAGTGAAACATTGACATGTTCTTATTCAAATATCTTCCTTAAGTTGTCTCCTGCTTTTGCCTTCTGTCCAAAATTTCCAAACTTGCTTTGGTTAACTAGCATAACCGCCAATATCTTTCTCTGCTTAACAGAATAGTTTCGACATTTTGGAAAACATGCGTAACGAAGCGGAAGGAGACCAACAGTCAACAACTGTCCTTATAGCACAAGGACTGGAGACGGGGAAACTAGCTGGATCTGTTCAAAGGTAACAACATCTGCTGAAATCTATCTAGTTTGTTTAATACCTACAAAAACTGAGGTGTAAAACTGACAATTCAGTGTCTTATTGAGGGTTATGTGCCATTTCTTGATGCTGAGCCGTTGCCAGGCAACGTGGATGTTATGGCTCCTGGCCAATAAATAGTCTGGTATTTTAACCCCTGAAAAACGGGTAATAGACATTTTAATTAGTGAGCTTAAGAGGTGCTGGTAGGTGGATTTTGTCACCTTTGGACAGAGGCGTGATAACCGTTTCTCTGTTTCCGGTCTTTGTGCTAGAGCTAGCCGACTGCTAGCGCTTCCATCTTCTTATTTCACACACCGCCTGAAAGCGAACAAGCGCACTTCCCAAACCGTCAAACCCTTTGCTTCAAACAAAAGCTTCTGACTGGTAAAACAGATTAAGGCTGAGCAAACACATACTACACCTCATCTCTCCCATTTCCCCAATGTTTGAATTTCCTTTCCATATTCCAGTCTCATTAAATGATCACATGCAGACCGCATTCCTTCAACATCTGAAAAGCTGTGATTTCATTTATATTGCAAAGGATTCCCCCTCTCCCCCCCCACAGCTCAGGTAGTGGTCTGGTTAGGTGATATGCCGAGCAGTTGCTGTGAGGATATTTGGGAGGAACTGAGGACTGAAGTGTCTGTACGGTGGAGGGTGTTCACAGGTTTAATGGAAGCAGGGGTGGATGATTTCCTCTTCTCAACTCTTTGATTTTGCAAGAAGAAAAAAAAAAAGAAAAGAAAACTCTCCCAAAAAAAAACAAAATCAGAAAAACCTCCTCGATCTACATTCGTCTCCACATGAAAAGCACGTAACATTGTCCTCCACAAAAGATCGCACGGCAGACCAAAAAATGGTTTCAACATCTTAAAAAAAAAAAAAAAAGGAAAAAGAAAAAAAAGGCAAATTGGATGACAGAAGAGAGGGAGCCCTGCCCCTAGTGGTCAATTCATGTCAATCCGCAGAAATAAAACCTAATTTATGATAAAGTATTTATGAGATTTGGACAAAAAGAAAAAAAGATGATCTGTACAGAGACCACAGTAATTATTTGCTTCAGAGCAGGTCGTATCTTCAGCTTCTTTTGTATAAAAATATATATACCACAGTGATGGCCTTTTGAGGACTCGTACTTGCAGAGGTTTGCCGCCGTCTCACTTGGATCCACTACATTCAGTGGTTTTCCCCGTTTAATCAAGGCTATGAAGATCTCTACTATAAATAGTCCCAACAGGTATCAACAGATCAGTGTCCTCTGTGTATAAAAATATGAGTCAACATAAATCTCTCGGTTCGTCTCTCCTTCTCGTGTCCCCCCGCCTTTAGAGGTCAGTTGAGTCTATGCTTGCACGTCTCTTATGATTATCAAATCCACAGTGTTTGGAAACGTCTTCAGGAGGGCCACTGCGTTCCCATGATCGATATTCACAAAGCTGTATCCATTTGCCTGTGAGAGAAGACAGAAACACTGGTTAGCATGGAGAAAAATACTAGTAAGCCTTTAACTAGTCAAAACGGATCTTTGTGATAATTCATATAGACCGCAGAATACCTGGATAATTTTATCTCCGGGCTGAAGAACCTTGCATGCCGGTCCCTCAGGTTGAACCCTTGTCACAAATATGCCCTGAAATGACATGATGCTATATTAATTACATATATTAAAAGCAGCTAGGTTGCACTGAATGTTTTCCTAAATAGATGTACAGCACAACCAATCAATTTCTGTGAAAATAATACAAATATGAATGGAACAGAAAAGGGGTCCTTTAAGTATGGTATTAAAAAATTTACATTGTCATCTGGTCGAAAGGGATTTCCCCGGCCTCCCACTCCTCCTGATATACTGAAACCCAGCTCTGGATTCTTCTCCACTTTCACACGGATCTGAAACACACCCACATACTTTCATCAGCCATTTATGCGCAGTCATTGGCTGTTAATTACACAATATTCCCTGCATTAGTCTAACAAAACCACAGCAGAACTTTAGGGAACTGGTTTCTAGCTAAATATGACACAAAATTCTGGTGAAAGAGCACAAATTTCAGGTTCTCACAACTCTAAGATTTAAAGACTTCCCTTCAAAGATTAGACTGATGAACTGATTGACTGTCCATTAAGTATGACGCTACATAAACTGCATTTTATTGTTTTTTTACCCTGTTCCAGTCCGTATGTTAAGCTAAGCTAACCGGCTGCTGTCTGTAGCTTGATATTTAACGAACAGAGTATAATACTCTCATATCTATCTTCTCATTTAACTCTCATTACAACAGCGTATTTCCCAAAATGTTAAACAGTTCCTTTGATCAAAGTTTAGCTGAGAAAATCCTCAAAATCAACTTCAATATCTAGCAGGTCTGTATTTCTTCAAGTCATTTCACACAAACACCGCCCTTCACCTCATGCTGCAGTGCGTCTTGGGGCATGCGTGGGGGCCCCTGGGGCTGATGGGAGACTTTGAGCATCAGGTAGTCAATGAGCTGCTCTCTGGAAGGGTGGCGGGCCATCGGCGCCTGGCTCATCTGGGGACGACCAGTGGTGCCCATCTGACCGTTCATCAAAGGCACCTAGGAAACAAAACCCCAATGATAAACAGCACTGTATCAACATTATGAGCTCTTCAAAGCAGATAAAATGCAAAGCAACCTCTGCAGATCTAAATCCTTCCCTGGCTAATTCGAAACATTTGACACATTTGTGCTCTGTAGCTAAACGTCCGTATGTATTCAACCTACTTTTCTGTGGGGGTCCATGGTGTAGCTCTGCTGCCCTTGGGGACCAAACACATCATCCTGGAAGGACAGAAAGTGATGATTATAAACACTGTGCCCAAACCCCACTCCACTGAAACTCATTTACAACAAAGGATAATGGACAAGACAGACAATTAGATACTGACATGAACATTTGTCAAGGGTGGTAATGACATTAGGCATTAATGTGTTGCGTTAGAAGAAAGGGAAAGGGATCTGATTAAAATGAAAAAGAGATTAAACTGTGCTTAGTTTCTATTCAGACACTAAGCAGCATGTAATTCTGACTCTTAGCTTTCTGGAGATAAAGTGACTCTTAAATGTTAAGTAGGGAACAGGTTACACAACACTCTCAGACAACTTTAGATAGTGCAGATGCCTCTTCTACACATTCTAAAACCCACTCTCTAAAATCACTTAGACGCACACTTCTCCCACTTACCTTTTGCAAACACAGTTTTCATCCCCACACACAAAAGTGACAGGTTGTGAAGTGATTCTGAAGTGATCGGAGGTTGAAGTAGAGATGATAAATGAGCAAAATAAGGATTTAAAGTGCAGTTAGAAGGAAAAGAAAATGATGGTTGCTGAGATGAATTACAATCACACGATGCGAGTATTGCAGAGTGGAGGGATAACACACACTGGGATAATGATTATAATGTTAAAAGACCCTGGTGTGTTTAAATGGGTTTTTTTGTACCATACATGAGACTTATATATTATATATCTGATTATTAACATTAACACAAATTAAGGTAGGCTTTCTTCGTGAAGAGACTGGCCGGAAAGCGCTTATTTTCCTCAAACAAGCCTGTCACAGTGCAGGGTGCCAGCTGGATTCAGAGAAAATACAGACCTGCTGTGAACGTGTTTCTAGAAATACAAGCCTCCCATTGCTCAATAACAACACATATTTCTTGCTCATTACTTGAATCAGATGTAGTGGATAAAATTAATTAAGCTGCACAGCCTGCATGTTTTGTGAAGTAGTAGTTCAGCAGATTTATTGCCTATATTAGCTAAAGCTCTGTAGCAATTCAGTCAGATTTCAGTTCTGTATTTCTGATTCGGTAATGGACGTAGTAAAGCCACTAAACCAAATGGATGATGGTACAAAAAAATGAGTAGTCCCCTTTTAAACAAGTCAAACTGCATTACACCAAGGGGAGCTGCACAAAAAAAACCGTAGAATCCATCAATTTCTCACTCTACGAAGACATCACACGTACTAGACAGGGATTGTGGTCGTGAGAGATCAGACGTTAGGAGAGACATACTTTCACTTGCCTATAAAAGGACAAGTGAAAGATGGCTGTGGGTCAGTGATCACTTCTCAACGTCGAGGAGAGAAGGAAACAGACATTTCTTATCTTCTAAAGGATGTGAAACTAGCAGGAACTGGAAGCCCTGGCTTAGTAATGAGCAGCAGGAGCTAGCTTCAAGTTCACAGTACTCACACAGAAGCCCAGAGCTCCGTAGGGCTGTCCGCCCCTGGCACTAAAGACCAGAGACCCTTGGCTGGCATGCATATCCCTACAGCTGCCGTAGTGAGACCAGCTCAGCGGAGCGTTATTGGAATTATAGGAGCGAGACAGCGCATTCTGAACAGAGGGACGACATGGAACAACCAGCACCAACAGACACGTCAGCGGTGGCCATGCAATCCACCAAATGAGTGTTGACATAAAAAAGACACAACAACAACATTTACAGCATATATAGACAAACATGCAGGGAATCAGAAATATTTGGCATACAGATGGGTTAGTAGGCTCTGGTAAACTTCCAACTCCATATTAAAAAAGGCAGATTCACTCAAACATCTGTAATAGTATCTAAACATACAGATAGTTTTGGTTTCATTTGCAGAGGTTTTGAGAGGCCCCAGTATGGGGATGGGTTCTGATAGCTGGTTCCACTTGGCTGCTGAGCTATACCAGTCCTTGTATTTTGCCAACAAATCTCTTATCAAAACTTTGATTTAAGAGTCTCTTAGATAACCTGCCTCTTTCTGACGCAAATAAAGAAGCTGGTGAAAGCAAAATACGAGCTCACTCACTGACATTGTGATTAATTAGACTATGGACTGAACACGATTAGACCACCTTTACTTTCAAAAGTGTTGATACACTTCACAAAGTCACCAAAGTTGTGAGAGGGTACTCATAACAGATATTAAATATGTATCTACCATCCATCGTGTTGAACGAACTAACTTGTGGCATTTTGGATATCTTAAGAATGTTAAGTGCTCCGCTATAGCCGGTCACACTGTATTCTGTGACCTGGAGCAGTGCAGTAACAGTTCACCTTCAGGTAATGTTAAATGCATTGTAAATGCAGCTGTTTAGTTTTTCTGAATCACAAGGTAGAATTAATATTTCCACTGTGTTGTTTTTACTGTACCGTCTGTGGTTCCTGCAGCTGTAGCACAGCCCCGCAGAGAAATGAGTCAGGACAGGATTAATGAATGTCACAGTGCAGTGACAAAAGATGTGGTCATAGCTCTGCACACTTTCAGCACAGTGGAATATCAGCGGTTTTAGGTGTGATACCTAGTTAAAAAAATACTTATTTTAATATATAATACGAATATTTCACCAAGATATCTTCATTACCCACCAAACAAACTACCTATAAAAGGTTTCATAAGGGATTCGATGGGTAGATTTCAAAGTGGATTCATATTTGATGCCCTTGATGTAATGATGTATGGCAATATGTATGATATGAAATGCCATCAAACCCTACTCCTAACCCCTACAAAATGAAGGTGAATGAAATGCGTTTGTGGTGCTCACAGCACTGAAACAATTACATTTAAAAATTAAACTGCATCATCTCTTCCAAGAAACACGTCCATGTTACTCTGGATAATTCAGTGCCGACAGTCCGCGGATTATTCGGATTAACAGAGACACTGTTTCTGGAAAGACGCATTGCAGGTTAATATTTTTACATGCAATTTTCTAATGCTTTTTTAAGTCGCACAAACAATATTACTTTCACCTGCACTGTATTAGGGCGGCATCAGAAATCTCAGAGGCAGTTACCATACAGCAAAAAATAACAAAACTATCTGTAAGGCTATGGGGAACAGAGAAGTTATGTGTTTTTGTAGTTTGGTTGAAACTAAAAAAGCTGGGCTTTCCAAATATTATCTTATACACATGTTGTTGTGATGGTCTTAAAGCAATATCCTTGTTGTGCTTCTCTGTAAGGATGAGCGTATTCATACAGTTGGCCTCGTAAGTGTGATCTACACGTCATACCTTAACCACCACAAAAAAATACTTTTTAAAGATCAATTCCACCCTGAAACTGAAATGACGAGGACAACAAAAAACAAAGTATAGACAAATAATTTTAACAGTTGTAGTTCATAACTTTTTACCTTTTCCATTTTCTTGGCCTCGATGTGCCGCATCACCTGGTCTCTCCAGTCAACTGGCACCCTTCCAGCGCCAACTCCTCCTGACACCTGTCCAGGCCCATCCAGCAGCGAGTGCTCAGATTTCACCCTGGTGTTGGGCCTCTTGCTGGGGCTACTGTGCTGGTAGTTGAAATCGCTGACAGACATGGTCCTCTCTGGAAGCTCGTGGGGCTGTGGCCTGGCGCCGAGAGGCCTGGAAGCTCCAGGTACATCGATGCTGTAAGTGCGAGCTGAGAGGGGCCTCTGCATGGCCTGGCTCATTGCCAGTGGCCCCCTGGCTAGGGTGTGAATGTCCCTGTACGTCATGTATTCCCCATCAGGTACCTGCATGCGCCTCGGGTCGCCCATAGAGGCTGTGGAAGCAGTGCTGCTTTGCCTCTGCAGAGTGCTGCTTCTAGACTGGCCTCCTGTAGAATGAAGTCTCTCCTTAGCCCACATGTCCCCAGAAGGTTTGGGACCCATTGGAGGCCCCCTCTGCTGGGGCTGTAGTGGGTAAGGAGGTGCCTGATTACGGTTGGAGTAGTTGGTGTTGGCTAGTGAGTGTGGAGGAGGAGGGAGGTAGCCTTGGTGCTCTGGGGGCATGGGCCCCCTCTGGGTCCAGAGGCCCTCTTTAGGCATGGCACTGCTTGTGTACTGTATGTTGTACTGAGGAGGAGGGATGCCCATGGCCATGCTGGAGGACACTGGATATCTGCTGGTGCTGGCAGGGGGCTTAGAGGAAGAGAGAAGGTCTGAGGAAGATGCAGAAGAGCCAGGGTAGATCTGGAGAGTCTGGTCATTGAGTAACTGACTAGCTGACTTGCTCCTGACTATGCTCTGGCCCTGAGCCCCTGGCCCAGGGCCGGCTCCTGCCATTCTAGTCATTCCTGCTGTGTCATAGGAGTCACTATCCCCATCAAAGGAGTATATCTTCAAGCCTCCTGTTTCTATGTTGCTGATGCTGTGAGACTTCATCACCTGCGGGGGATGGCACCTTTTCTCTGGAGACAGTTCCTCTGTGCTGCGAGACAGAGACATGTCACTGCTGGCTGTCACGCCTGTCGAGGCCACATGCACCGCAGATGTCTCTACTCTCATCCCTTGGCTTCTGTTACCCAGACTATTGATGCAGTCACTAACCTGCTGGTTTCCATTCAGAAAATGCTCCATGTTGTCATTGCTAAAACCCTGCTTGCTGTCCAAGTCCTCCCGGGTTACTGAGCCATTCTTGGTTTTGTCCACCTCGTCCAGCTGAACCATGTTGTCGGTTGGTAACTTGGACACGTTCATATTAATCTGGTCCCACTTGGTGTAAGTTTCTCCCATGCCATTGTTAATTCCCTTCTCAATGAAGGCCAGTCTGGCTTCCATGGAAAGGTCGTAGTCTCCCATTTTCTCCGGTGGGGTCTGCTGGGTTTTCAAAAGGGCCTGAAGGGACGTTTCAGAGCCATTACCATTATGGAGGAGGGGAGTGGTGTCTTTAGGCTGGTTCATGTTCTCATCTTGCCTACAACAAAGAACAAGAGACACATCAGATTCTGTAATAACGGCAGGAGCCAGACGGTCCTTTTTACTCCACATTAAGATGCTGAAGAATGGCACTAACCGGCTTTTTGGTAGAAAGGGCATTTTTGCCTCTCTCTCAGGGGTGCACAGAGAGTTGTCCTGACTGCTGTCTGTGGTCAGAGACACGGAGTCAGACATGCGTGATGGAGACGAACAGTTACTATTGTTCTGGTTGCTGTTGGCCACTGTCTCATCCAGCAAAGAGTCTGCGTCATCTGTTAAACAGAAATATATCATTTGTCAACTTTAAATTTTTCACTTAAAATAGTATCTTTTAAATCACTCAACAAAACCTTTACCTTTTTTGTCCTTACTTAAAGTCACTACTTTAGGCTGGTTGATGGAGATCTCAATAAGAGGGGGTCTCATCTCTGCAATTTTCATCTCCTCTTCTTCATCAGACAGCTCTTCAGAATCCTAAAGACAAACAATAATTTTCTTTAGGCTGCATTCGAAACTTCCTAAAGCACTTGCTGCATTTCTTGTTTGTTAAATAGTGAAATAAATATGAGTACTAAATGTTAGTAGTACCTCCAGTGTGTCTTCGTGGTTCATCATGGAGCCCCCTGAAGATTTGAGAGGGACTTTCTGAGAGCTGTAAGACTCTGAAGTGTCTTTTGATTCTGATGTAGAGAGGTTTTGGGCATGTGTGTTGTTAGAGACTTGGGGCTCCAAGTCAGATGCCATGCCGTTTGGACAGGGGGCCTCTATCACCTGCAAAAAACAGCACGGATGGTCAGTTATTTACTAAAAATTCTCCTTTACTTGCATATAGAATATGCAATTTGTTAAAGGAGAACTAAATCCAGGCAAAATAGACAAGAAACGAAAGTGAAAGATTGTTTAAAAATATCTATTTTAGCTGAAACTGACCTTTACTCCCACATCCTGAACTCCAATATGGTTCCTCTCCACTGGTTTTGCATCTTTGCCTGACTCATCACTCGACTCGTCCTCCTTCAGCCTGTGAGCCACCGACTGGGCTGTCTTCACCATGTTTTTCAGCTCGTCTGGGTATGGTGTAGGGTAGCGCTTCAGGTTTCCCTCCTGGAGGAGTACAAATACCCACAATATTACCATTAACGTTATGTGGTTTGCCATTTTGACAGAAATGGGATAGTAGGATTAAAGTCAGTGTTGAATGGCAATTACATGAAGAGCGAGGTCCATTCAATATATAGACACATTTACCATCTATACAAAGGTCACCTCTGGTCAATTGTTGCAGAAAATGGGACATGAGGCACATTTTACATGAACAAAGTGAAGCTTGTTGCCAAAATAATACTTGTGATTACAACAATGTCCTTGCAGTTTGGTAAACTATGTCACCACAGTCTTTTTCCCTTTCCCCAATTAACCGTTCTGACACTAACCCTCGGGGGTGTTTCTCTCTCATCCTTGTCCTCGTCACACTCGAAGGCCACCTGAGCTCGGTGCTTGCGTTGTTCCTCCCAGAGAGCTGGATTAAAGCTCTCAGAGTCAGAGTTGGGGATGTCTGAAATAAAAGCAGAAACCAGGAGGAGGATCATTTGTTAATTTGTTTTTAATTAAGGCTTTGGAAGTCTCCCCCACTGTGTTTAATTCTTGCAAGTCTGACTTTGACCACAAGATGGCGTAAAGACAACATGAGGCATGCCCATAAACTGAAGGTGCTGCAGAGGAGCTTGAAATTCAGGAGTTAACTCCTTAAACTCAAGCTGAACCCCCTGAACCATACAACAATGAAATACTAACACTTGGAATTGTAGTTCTCATAAATTGCAACAGCAAAAAATAAGCACTTTGAAAAGGCTTGACCCTGCGCTTCAATCTGATTCCAGTCTATTTTAAAGTTTAACATAAAAAGCAAAAATATAAAAACTTTAACATTCTTGCAGGATTTGCCATGACTAAGCATTCAATTCAATCTCACTCCTTTGCCATACACCTGTCTGACTGCTACATGTTGGAAAGGGAGAAGCAAGGCAATGATTACTATGACAATCATGTCACAGAAGTGGTGATTGTGGTTGTGATGACGTTACTTTCCTGAAACTCTGCATTAGCATCTTGCGTTAGTGATCTGCTCTCCACTGTGTCACTCAGACTGACACAGAAGTATTAACTGGCACAACACATTTGAAATCTTTAAGAAGTTTATCACATACTCTCTAACTTAAAGCTGTCATTGGAGCTTTAAGTTTTGAGTCAGTCAGTGTGGTTTTCCTGTACTAAAAAGCTCTTTACCCTCAATTTAGTGACACATATAGTGATACAACAGGTTGCTATCTAAAAAACAAGTACATATTGTGTAGGTAACAACTATTGTAGATCATTCTGAGCCAACATCAGCTGAGAACAGACCATATCAAGAACTCTGGTTGTCTCAGCTTAACACGCCATAACAGAGAGCGAATGAACAGTGCATAATATGAGTCGCCTGCCGTGTAGCTTCCATATCAACAAGTTGTAAAACATAACCACTGCAGTCAGTTAGGTTAATCTAGCTTCTCAGGAAACATGACAAAACAGTAGATATGATAAATGGCATAAAGCAGATGACTGGGAGATAAACCGTGGACAGAGCCTACATACAGTAACCTGTATAGGTGCATTTTCTGGTGGTGCGATGTAGTTATAGACCGAAGAATCGGTTGGCTTATTAAATCGGTCTGATTATCTGACATTTTGAGATAATCTGCATCGGCTGATGTTTTTTTGATGTTGAATTTTATAAAAAATTAAATGCAAAACAACACCTTTCTGGCCAAGACAACCATGTATGTTGGATTGTAATGTGTATGGAATAATGGAATCATACATGATTTGTCTTTTGATATCGGCATTTGCCATTAAAAAAAACCTATATTTGTTAAAAATAGTGCAATTCATCGCTCACATCGTCACGAATATCAAGCAGTTGAGTCGCTACTATTGCAGTAGTTCAAGCATGTAGATCTTGAACCACTAATTACTCTAAAGCTAAGACGAAACAGGGTCAGTGCAAGCTGTCTGGTGTAATAGGAAACCAAACCAAACTAACAGATGCTTAACAAGAAGAAGACGACTTGTGTTTCGTCTGCAGCTTTGGTCTCAGGTCCCTCATAAAATATGAATACAGTAATCCTTGCAGGTCACGTATAGGCCTGCTTCTATAAAGATGGTAGCAGTAGTCATGGCAGTGCAAGAGAATCTGATATGAAAATTAATTTACTTTAACTGAAAATGAGTCTGTTAGGTACTTATTTACAAAACCACTTTAGTTTCTTACTGTGTATGGACCATCAACTTCGATAAACTCTTAGTGTTTGATTTTGATAAGTGATCATATTAGTCATACAAGTAAAGCTGTTTGAATTGTACGATTGCCTGGTAGTACTCATTGATTAACAAGCTTGAATCTTTAATATCCAGCCCTGCTGTGAAGAACTGATTGATGAAAACAGGTCGGAAACATTTGCAGTTTTGCTAGATTAACCATGAAAGAGTATAAAAGAGATATTTAGTCTTGATGAATGCACAGTACTCACAGTCCTCAGTCCTGATTTGCTGGGGGAACATGTAGTTGGTGAGCACGGTTTTGTGTGTCTCTGGATCCTCCTCTTTTTGGAGAGGGATCAGGGGCTTTGACTGTGGGAGACAGAAAGTAGGTTTGAGTGTGCTATCGGCAATCAAAGGTGCTTTGTCAAAATTAATGTGGTTCCCCCAAATTTCCCACAGTCCTTTCCAGCTGAGTTTGTCCCTCTAGTCTTCTCAAAGCCACCCACTGGCTTTGCTTTGACTGAGACACTACTAAGGCACATCTGGGTGCCACTTTCTGTCAATCATTCCTTTATGGAAGTGGTGTAAGCTCCATCAATGTCCCTTAGGCCTCATCATCATTGTCACACCTGCCAAACAGTATCCCTGTGTCTCAGTACTGTGGCTCCTGTTGGACTGCCTCTCCCAGGTTTTATTTCTGCCCCTCTTAACACAACAAAAGCTGCACTCCTCATTATTAAGCAAGTAAAGTTCATATACAGTACATATAGCACCTTACTGTGTCACAAAGTGCTTTACAAGTCAATAAAAGCAAGGACAACTACAATTCTGATACACTAAGACAACAGAAAATCATCAATAAAAGGCCTGTTTTTCACAAACATAATTTCTGACATTTATGAAAAAACTGTCTATAGGAAGGCTGTTCCTTCAAGAGCCTCGGAGCAAAAGCTTGGTCTTGAACCAAGGGACAGCAATCTAGCCCTGATCATATGACCTTGGAGTCTGTCTGTACAGTTTCCTGTTAGGAGCCCGAACTATAAATCAGTCAGGCTGAGCAGTGTGTATGTCAGCAGATATTTTAGTACAGAAATGCAAGAGATGTCACCATTCTATAGTTTGTCCATCAGAGAGTTCATTTTTTCACTGTAAAATGTTCTGCCAAGTACATTTCTTGGTCACAATTATTGAAGAAACACATTTAAGGGAACCTTTCCAAAAATACATATTTATCTTATGGGTTGTGTGAAGAGAATTATCAGTTTCGCCTCCAAAATCCTCCAAAACTGGACTATAGCAAAGAATTCACAAAGGTAAGCAGGAAAGTGATTGTGAAGAAAGGTGTAAATGATAACTAATTTCTTAAAATGTTTTTCAGTATTCAATAGGCAGCTAGACAGGGGGAGACATGGGTACCTTTAGGACAGGGCTGGTTCTTCTGCAGTATTCTGAAATGCCTGCAGTTTTTCCCATGCATTTGAACTAACAATAGTCCAGCCAGCATGAGAAAAAGGCATGAATAATTGATTTCAAAATGTGGTGAGAGTCAACAATTCTGTTGAGAAATACTTATAAGCAGGAAAAAGCAAAACACGCTGACCCAGTGTACACCTGCAGTGTCGTCTGCAACCTTAAACATTAAAACTCCTCGGGAAAGCTTAATATGAGTGGTTTGAGAATTCCTTTCCCATGCAAAGCTCCTCTTCAATGACAAAGTGGGACTGCAAGCCACTTCCTGACACATGAGCTGAACAGACTCAAACGTTTCCACCTCTGATAGGCTTATCTTGTGTTCTGTCAAGGGCCACATTAGCTAAGGCAGAAGTCCAAATTTCTAGCCACACAACTTGCCTGGTAACCTTGATCTCTCTACATGCGCTTTACTTCCGGCTGGTTGCTGCTGCCTTTTCTCACTCAGATTTCTGTCATATCACGTTGCAGGGGTTTTGACAGGCTCTTCTAGATTACCATACTGTCGCCCTTAAACAAGTATTTAGGTAAGGATAACATTTTCTGACATTCATTAGGATCCTTCTACACTTGTGTAAAATGCAGAGTTTTGTGTATCGCCGAGTGTGACCTGCATTGCCATTTGGCACGTTAAGATCAAATGTCCTGGAAGTGGTTTACTGAATTTTGAATGCGTTTTCCTGTGCGCTACCTGACCTAGCTGGATTAATTTACAGCTGAATGTTGTCACGTACCCTGCTGCCATGACACTCTATAGAACACATCACCCTCTGACAGCTCTGAACTCAGTGGTACCTTTTGTGAAACCCTTATACTTGTGATTTATACATAATACATGCAATCTCACCTGATTTTCAGACAGCCACATTGCAGTCATCTGGTTCAGTTTAGTGAAACTGTAGGGAAGATTCTTTAACCTGCAGTGGAACAAAAACAACACAGGTACTCAGTCATCTTGAACCAACATCCTAAAAAAGCTGATGTATCTGAAAAAAGTTTGAAAAAAATTCAACGTGTCAGGTAAATTTAATGTACGAGGGCCCAATATAAAGTTAGGCTGAAGCACTATTTCATTATTTCTCTAATAAAGTGTCAGCGCTATGGGGTTCTAGCCAAAGTTATTCACTGTATTTGGCACAGAGCAGACACCAGGAATGAAAGCTGTAATTAAAACTTCAATCGGGCCGTAGCTTCCAAACCAAACCATTTTCATTCTGGGCAGAATTAAGACCCTTCGATCACAATGTAATTATCAGGTTATGTTTCAGACTGCGTGTGTGCTCGTGCTCTTTTTTCATTCATTTTCACAGAATTATGCAGAAATACTAGATTGACGCAAGGCTGCAGGAATGCCTTTAAAATAACGACGACTGCAATTAACAATTATTTATTTAAGTTCATTTCTAAAATTAAAATGGTGAAATGCTCTAAATGCATTGTTTTGTCTGACTAACTCAAAAATTAAAAACATATTAAATTTACAATTATATTAAAAAAGCAGCATTTTTAAAATGACTTTTAGACGTCAATAATCCAAAATAAACAGAAAAAATAACTAAATAACGTTTCTTCTTAAACTTGACCTCAATATGTCATATAACACTGTCAGTTCAAACTCACTTGTTGTTGCTGAGATTTATGACCTTGAGCTTCTGCATGTCACCCATCTCCTCAGGCAAAGATTCCAACTTGTTTGAATGTAGGAAGAGCACAGTTGCGTTCTTCCAGTTGCCCATCTGTGAGGGGAAAGAAAGCAAGGACAGAGAGCCGTGAGCCAACAATGCTAGCTGTTACAGATGAGCAGACTGACATGTCACACCATTTAACACATCTCCACAAACACACACACATCTAATGTGCATACTCACCTCAGGGGGAAGCTGGGTAAGGAAGTTGTGATCTGCAGCAAACGTACGGATGCTGACACACTGGCCGACGGAAGACGGCAAGGCTTCAATCTCATTGAAACTGCAGTCCAGCTCATCCAGAGATGTCAGCCTGATGCAAAGAGAATAAGGAGGAGAAAGATAGGAGGAAATTAATCATGTGATCTAATTATTATATATACACTACATAGTATGTGAAAAATGTTTAGGGGTAAGGGGTTAAAGGCATACTCCAGTGATTTATTAGTTTCCATAAAGTTGGGAGAATTTGTTAAAAGACAGATAACCTTTAATCTCCTTGGGACCTTAAATCCCTGATATGGGTCAAGTGCCGAAAACCCTGAATCCTACAGTTCCCATAATGCAGCTAATGGTATGTTATTATAAGAAGCTCCTTATCTTTCAAACCCCACATCCACAGTTTGTAGCACAGGTTTTCTGTTATAGATATGCTGTCTCCAAGTCCAAGCCAAGATAACCAATCATATTTTATGAATCTTTGGAAAGCTCCCTCCAGAGCCACAAAATAAATTATACAACTGTTTTCACAGGGTGAATAGTACTTTTTATGACAAGTAAAAATAGGTGAAGTGACGCTTTAATTCTGCTACATCAGACTTCATGTCAAAGATTTAAAATGCAAGAGTGGCAAAATAAGGACTAAATCTTCTGGTCTGTCAAACCAGGTCAATCAACCAACCTACTTTATGTATATTACAGCAAGAGACTGAAGCTTCCTAATATCTATGTAATAGGACTGTAACAAGGCTGGACCCTCCTTCAAAAGATACAAAGACAAGAAATGGCTGAATGATGCTGAAAACAACACAGGTGGTTCTTAAAAAGCGTCACAGCACATAAAGTAGCGACATTTCAAACTGAACCCATGCTGACACAGAAGTGCTGTGCAGCTGGGGCTTTCTGCTGAAGGAAAAATGCAAATGCAATCGGGGGATTCAGATGAATGCAAAAAGACCTGCGGGACAGCTACTGTGTTATAGTGCCACTGAACTCCAAAACACATTTGACCCCTCTTTCCTGAATATAAAACAGGGACAAACAACACTGCGCACCGCACAGTAGACTGAATAAAATCAGCTACATATGAATGGGAGCGGGGGGTGGAAATCAGCTTGCTTAAGCTAAAATCCTTGCATGGGATTAAGATAAACCATAGGCTTTGTCACATAATCTGTGTCAAATTACACAAGGAGACACATTCTAACATACGGAATATTTGATGGCGGTTTGTTGTTTGGAAACAATGGACAGAAAACACAACTGCAACAGCTGCAGTAGCTATTGTCAGTAAATGTAGATCTGTCTCTTTCGTGGATGTGGGCTTGCACTGATTAAATAAATAAATAAATACAAAAATAGGTGGATTACATTGGAGCCTAATGTTTGTGCTGGCCAACGACAATTCAGAGTAGACGAAGGGTCAGGACGTGGACCTGGCTCACTCACTCGCTCAGACAATATCAATCTGAGAACAGCTACGGCTGATTTAATCTACTGTACTGGAGGATCATCTGGCCCAAGATTACCATCGACCCCTCCACAATAAAGCAAACCTCAGTTTCAAAAAATCAATACAGTTCTTCAATATCATCAGCCCTAAACCAAAACAAATAAAGCATCAGAACACATTATGTTTAATGGGAATATCTGATTTGTCCAGACAGACGTTTTATGCGATCAGTGGATGGTATATGAAAAAAAGCGCAATAATCCAGTGATCTCAGGGTTTATTCTGCTGATATTCAAAGCTACGGCTGTAACACTCACCCTCCAATGGAGTCTGGCAAGTATATCAGCTGGTTCTCATCCACTTTCAGTGCAGTCAGTTTCTTCAGTGAGCCTATAGTAAGAGGAAAAAAAAAAAGAGAGAAAATTAGAGAGATGCAGCTCAGGGCAATTACTGATTATCACTTTCTGTTGCACTACAAAAGAGAAATATCCATTACAGCAGTTAATTGGATTAATTCATACTGTCATCAGTACAATTATCAGTTTAGCAGTAATCAAGCCTGACTCTAAGGCACTGTGCATCTGGACTCATCGGATTTAATTAGCCTGGTCTTAACTCATGGACATTACTTTTCCCCCCCAAGGAATTAAAGAAAGTCATCACAAATATTCACATTAAATCCTTAATTTAAATCTTTTATATACATGTGAATATGGATGAATCTCAGTTTAGTCAGTTCACAGTTTGATGAATAGGCATTGGGAATGAGTAAATACACTTAAGATCACATTTGTGTCAAAGGCAAAAACTAAAAAATGTCTCCACAGTATCTAAGAACAAAGACATAATGAGAAAAGGGCAGTTAAGCGATAAAACTGTATTTCCATGTTTTAAAACCATGCTTGTGGCATAATATTGCTAGTTGTTTGGTTAAAACATCTTCTGGCACTACTGAACTGTGACTACTGTATATTGTAACTGGAGGAACAGTAATTACATCTTCTGTGATGATTTATTTCAGTATTATTTTTGAAAGTTTGTACACTTTAAATTTTATGAAAATGTATTTAAGCTATGCAGTCACATCATCTATGGGAATTAGATGCTTACCAAAAAAACACTGTAATGGACCGAGAGATGAAAAATGCCTTGGCAATAGCTAAAAGAGACTTTAGGTGTTTCATAATGGATTTTTTTCAAATAAGATGTGTGTGTGTGTGTGTGTGTGTGTGTGTGCGCTGTAATCTTCACCGATGGAGCCTGGCAGCTGTGTGAGGGCATTGTTGGAGAGCAGAAGGTCCTGCAGACTCTCGCAACCGCAGATTTGCTCATCTACCATTTCCAGGCTGTTCTTGGACACATCCAGGTATACCAGCTGTTTCAGCATACCCATCATCTGGATAAATAAAAAGGTGACAGAAAAGACATAGAATCTTCACTGATATCTCATTATCCTGTCTTAATTTATGCCAAGGATTAGGCAATGGTAGTGTTGATCACAGAAGCAGTGGATTAAAACAATCCCCAAAACATCCTGAGCAGTGCGGTGAAGTAACTTAGGTAGGAGCATCCCAGACATGATATTATCACATAATTACTACATTTTTAAAAACTGAAAATAGATATTTTACATAAAAAGGAAACAGTTGCTGTATTCAGGTCTTGGTTTATATTCCTGACAAACGTCATTGCTTACAAAAGGCCAGACTGTGATTACAGTTGATGTTGTTGAAATGCTGGCAGCAGAACTAATGCTTTAATTATGACCCAGTTACAAACAAGCTGGTCATTTGGATGAAAAATGAATCTCATACAACACATTCGGACTATCAAAACATGATTATAAATTAATTATGCTCAAGGAAAATAATTACAAAAAAAACCCTGCAGCTGTGAAGGAATTATTACTGGGACATGTGCAAACCTGCATTTCCTCTTTCTATTTGTTCATCCTTCTTCTAAGTTCATTCAGCAAGAGAAACATTTCTAAACTGCAGATCCCTCTCTGCTGGTATTCAGAGGGCTGAAAGTCTGATGCAATCTGACTGCAGTTCATTTTGATGAAGATTGAAGTGGACACAGAGATTGAATATCAAGGGAAGTAATCTCAAGATGATGTTTTTGGGCACTGCAGTCAATGAAAGTGTGTGTATAGGAATGAATTATACCCCAGGTAAGAACGACAGTCTGTTCCCGTCAATCCACAGCTCCTTGATTCCGCTCAGCTGCTCCAACACCTCAGGCTGTAGATGTAAAGAGGAGAAAGGAGGTTAAGTGATAGGGATGTGTGTGTATGAATGTTTAAGGGATGTGTGCGTGCGTGCATGCGTGCGCGTTTGCGCCTGCTGGGCAGAGACAGGATGAAGAGCTTAACTCACAAACAAGCTAAAAATGAATCATAAAAGGTCATTTATTTATTCCACTGTGATTATCATGTATTAATGAATGCTATCTTTCAGAGAAAACAAATTAGCTCTTATCCTAAGTGCACTTAAAAAACAGCTTCCATTTCAAAACAAAGCAGAGGAGGAAAGGGAACAGATAATAAATAAATAAATAAATAAATAAATAAGGAAGGAGGAGGTGAGGTAACAACCAGAAAGGTAAGAAAGCCCTGGGCATCGACAGACCGACTGACAGATACTCACCACTTCAGTGAACTCATTACTCCCCAGGTCCAACCTCTCCAGCTGTGTGAGCTTCTGCATGCTTCTATAGACACACAGGACAGACAGGGAGTGAGATCTTAAATTCAACGGGTAAATCAATTCACACGTACTACATTAGTTTGCACAAGTGGAGAATTTGAAAATAAACACTAAACTGACCCCCTTTGTTTAGACAAAGGCAACAGCCAGGATTATAAGCAATGTGGGCCATGTGCTTCAAAAAGCAAAAAGAAAAAGATTTTCATGTTATATTTTGGATGGCATACATGCTCTGCCTTTGCTCCTTTCACTGAATAATTTTACAAGGAAATAAATACCTTTTAGAGCTCAGGCGTGACAGAAATATGCTTTAAATAATGGAAAATGTGACGTATGCTAGCCCTAAGCCTTGCTCCAGAATTTTCTCTCCACATTCAGGTCAGTCTCACATTTTCTGCTACGCTGTAAACAAGCAGATAAAAACCAGGACTATTCAACTGCTTACAGTCTTTACTATATTTAACTGATCACCAGTGACAGAAAAATGGAGAGTGAAATAATATTATAAGAAGACTTTGTTTCACATTTAGAGCAGCAATAGTTAATAACCATCATTCCTCAAAATCAACTGACAAGATGCCTTTGAGGGCATTTACAACTCTGTGGCAGCAGCAAATAGTAGATCTCACAAAAAAATACAAAACTCTTTTTTTAAACTGGCGTCACATCCACGCATACAAACTCTCCAAAAGATCTGCAAGAGTAAAACAAAATACACGGTTCACTTGTTGTTCTTTCCATTGTTTGAGTGTCCTTGATTGGAGGACATTCCTCTGAACGAATCATAAAACACATTGGGGTTAAGTGTTTTAATTGTATAATTCTGGCAAGATAAAGAATTGTAACACACAAATCAACTTCCAAGTTAGATAAGAACTACAAAACTGTTGTTTCAAATCAGAAATGCCCTGAGAGTGATTCACAAAACCAAAAAAAGAGGCCATGACTGGAGATGAAGTGGGTTCTGTGTGGGAATAGATATGATGATCCTTTCACAGCAGGGATGAACTGTTTCCTTAAAACATCAGTACAGAAATGGAAAGCAGAGGCCCACCACCACTACTGCAGAGTCTGTTTTGTTTTTAGGTGCTCCTCATAAAATGAGAATGTAAGACATACGGCAGAAATTCTAAATATGATTTAAGCCCTTTGGAGATTGTTTTTTTAGTACTTGCTGCAATATGAAAGCATTAATTATGCTGATGTGCTTTAGCCAGCTTTGTCACATTCTTACTTTAAAAGTTGGCAAGAAAACCAGCGACCCCCATGTGAGCTGAAAGGGGTCACAAAGAGCTGCGCTGTCTCATCTAGAAAGTGAGTTTACCAGTGAAAAACACACACTATGGCTTATGACCTCAAGTTGTGAGGAACACAGCATCCTTCTTTAAAATACAGAGACGCATTCGGTTTCTGCATGTGCTTGGTGTGTTTCTATGCACAGAGAGAAAAGAGCCTGCACTTTCTATGTCGAAGCCCTGAAAAGGTTTCTACTGCGCCCCTTTGTGCACGCACACATTTGTTTACATCTCTGAAATGCTTGTGTGTTGCTCTGGCAACGTTCCCGATCATTAGTCCTTTTCTTTGTCAAGGCTCTAGCCTTTACCAGGTCTGGCCTCTGTCACATAAACACAGCGAGAAGCGAGGATCCGCTCTGAGCTGCAGCGCTGCACTTTATACACCGGCTGGGCCGTCAGTCATTGAGTGAAAAATAAGAAAAAGGAAAGTGAGTGAGATAACAAAGGAAACTCAGCCAGAGGGAGGAAGGACAAAAAAGGCAAACAGGGAAACGCAGCCTTGCTGAGAAAATGGGAAGGGCATAAAATGAAATGATACAGCAAGTGAAGCATGAAAGAAGACAGACAGAGTAAGTAACTTCCACCCAATCACCTGGAGCTTTCTCAAATACTCATGGGACATTTAGTCTCACAGCTGCACTGTAACCTTCTCCAATGGTGAAATAACCCTCACCACTGTCTCAGTAGAGGATTATAAAACCTGCCACAGCAAGCAGCCAAGCAAAGGGGGGTTCTTATGCAACACTGAGGAATTTAATACTACAGTTAGAGGTGTGGGGAGTGAACGGTAAAAACAGACAGGATGGAGGACACAGCAGAGACATTGCAGGGGTTGTGAGAGGTAGGAGACAGCGAGGAAGTAAGGATAAAAACTCTTGACATGCTTCATGACACAACCCGGACTCACAGTGATGCTGCACCTTTATTTTGTAAATAAAAATGAACATTTTGTGGATTTGAGATTTGGAAAACGTGAAGTAAAAAAGCACTTACTTTGGCAACATCTTTAACTGGTTCTCCCTCAGCTCTAAGATCTGTAGTTTAGTCAACCTGCAACCAAATAAAAAGCCAATGTTATCATCGATAAGTATGACAATGACAATATACCTTCATACTGTAGAAACCTTCACAATAGACATACCTTTGTCACATTCTACCTCACAGCAGTAATATATGGAATGGGTTTTTGAACCATTGCAGTCATGATAGCATGATGCCCCTGCAGGCATTCTGTTCTGCTACTAACCAGCTTCAATGTGCAGCTACATGACAAGAACTTTTGTAGTAATTTTATTTGGCAAATCAAACATTATATTCCCTTATACTTATGTAGCACTAAAGTAGGGTGACCATACAGAAAGCACATGCAGTTTTAAGAGTGAAAGTGGATTTTTAAGAGGAGAGGGGGCATTAGTGAGATGAAACAGGCCTATGTGGCTAACTCACATTATATGTTTTGTGTAATCGGAAGGTTCAACGCTAACTATTACCTATTGTGTAAACTACAAGCAATGTGTGTGTGACTGATCTTGCTGGTTTGATGAAACAGCCTGTTCAGACTCTCAGTGAAACATCTTAAAAACAACAGATGGGAATTTGTCAAATCATTGTGAGTCAGAATCTGAAATATGCTGAATTAAGTACAACAAAACAGTAATTTGACATGAGGCATTCAACTGAGCTTTTTTGTGTCATTTCATAGCTAAACGACCAGTTAAATCTGCAATGTGGCCCAACGGAAACGCCACAGCATTGACCTTGTCACCTTTTACGTTGATACAGTGAATTTATTAGCAAACTGTTGCTCGTTTACACGTGCAGCAGTTACAGAGCAACATCATCATTCATTTGGAGACATATCCCTGATCATCTGATGAATGTCAGTCCAATATTCACTTTCGTTTACCTCAGTTTTTGTTCTCTACCAACTCCTGAGGAGAATATCTGCCTCTTTAGAGGTTCAACGTTACACTATGGTCACCAGTTAGTCTAGAACTGGATCTTAGGGCTGGGCGATATGGCTTAAAAATAAAATCTCCGTTTTTTTCATACCAAACCCGATTTACGATTTTAATCGATTTTTTTTTTCCTTCTTAAAAACACACTACAAATGACAAAGAAATTATTCAAAACAAGTTTTGCTTTATTTTGTTTTAATTTTCCCTTCTGGGATTTGAACAAAATTCCCCTTAGGGCTAAAGTGCAACAAAACGCTGTTGTGGTGGAGTAAAAACACACCTCCTCCAGCTCTCTAGCGATCCTTTCCCATGTGCAGTTGTACAGGTGAGGCAAGGCAACTCCAGCAAAATACTTGCAGCTTGGTCGCACATACCTGGGGTCGAAGGTTTTCAGCATGTGGATAAACCCCGGCTTTTCCACTGTGTAAATGGGAACCATATCTTTAGCAATATGCAACGCGACTGCAACAGTAATAGCTTTCCACCGGGTCCCTTTCTTATCATATGGGACACAATGTGAAAATGAATCCACTAATGTAGACTGTTTTTTAGCGGTTGTTTGTGGGCTACGGTCCTGTATATCTCGCAGAGAGCAACATTTCTCCCACTCGGCTGCATGCCTCTGCTTGAGGTGCTGGAATAAATTCGTCGTACTGCTACCTTTGGTTGCAACAGCTTTCAAACAAACTTTGCAGTGGGTCGTGGTTTGTTCGCTGTCGGACGCCACCAAACCAAACCAGTTCCAAACAACCGACGACACTGTGCCTTTTTTGGGGACGAGCTCATCCTGGCTTGCTGCCATGTTGTGTGTATGTGTGGAGAGGCGGGGGGAGGGGTCTACGGTAGCCCAAAGGGAGCGCCTGGGTTGTCGAAGTTCAAGAGAAAACTAAAAACAAAATCGTGTTTAACTACAATTTCGAATGAATCGATAAAATCGATTTATGGCCCAGCCCTACTGGATCTGTCTGCAGTTTGGTGTTGAGCAGGTAGTGTAGTGTTTTTTGTCACTTGAAACTGCTGCAGCTGAAAATGACACAGAGCTGTGACAGTGAACCAAAACAGTAAACTTGTGGGCTGGAAAGTTTAACGATGAGCTGAAACTCGCTATAAAGCTTTGCAAAGCCAAGCAGAGCTGCAGTTTCAGATCTTCTGTAGGTTCATCACAACGAGCAATCCCTTTCACATCGTTATAAAAATATCTATTATTACCGCTTTAAAGACTGGTGTTATGAAAGAAGAAAATCTAATGCTGGTCAAATACAATATGTTCTGATAAAAATTTAAAAACTATAAATTGTAAGCAAGCTGAATGATATTGACAAATAGAAACTCACTATTTGTGTCCAATATGTCAAAATTGTCACTATAATGTGGATATTTTGATCTTGCTTGCTGGCTGGTTTGCATTTCTGAATGTTAATTTAGAAAGTTATGGTTATGTTTTTAAAATTGGAGCCATGATTTAAGTGGTTGCCTTTACAAATGTTTATCATGGAAGTGGTACCCTAAAGAAGTTCTTCTTGTCATTCTAACATTAGATTCAAAATCAAATAAACCTTATTGAACCACAGCCATGTCAGTGTTTCGACCCAAACAACTACTGTGTGTGGCTTCAAACAAAACATACACTTAATGAGAAACAACTGTATCCTGATCCAAACTGGAGAACAACACTGACCTGCCAAAACTGGCTGGTAAGAACTCGAGGAAGGCATCATTCAGGTAGAGCTGCGTCAGACTCAGAAGCTGGGTGAAGCCTTCGGGGAGCCTGAAAACACATACGGGAATAAGAATCACTCACATAAAGCCTGACAAAGTTGCAGCAATGATAGAATACCTAAATTAAAAATGCATGTGCAATATTAAGCCAGAATGGATTTAATTCAAAAGGTGAAAAAGGTAATATACAAGGGTGTACTCACTTGGATATGGGGTTCACACTGGCTTCTACAATAGCTAGGACTTTGCAATTTTTTATGTTTTCTGGAAACTCCTGGATACCTAGAGAGAAATGGCAAATGGCAGATAAAAACAGCCATTAGAGATATTAAAAGGTACAACAACTGCACACCATCAATTCAACATCTGTATGTTGTGTCTTCACCATTTTATTACCACTGACACAAAAATGACTTCAAAACCAAAAAGATGAAGGATAATGCAAGCCATCTTGCCTGTGTTTAGCAGGAGAAGCTTTGTGAATGTTAAACACAGGTAGATTGTGAGTACTCTGTGGATTGTGAGTACAAACAGGAAGGCTCTCTGCCTGAACTGTGTGTGCTCAAGATACATTTAGAGTGGCTCTGCACCTTTCCTCTTTAAACAACCAAAGAGAAGAGTGCTTGTGGTGACATAATAAAAGAGCATGAGAGGAAGAAGAAAAAAAGACCACCAAGTGATAGTCTGCAAGTTCTCATGAAACATCCACAATGTGCGAACTGCAAGAAAGAGAACGTGACCAAGTCTGTAGGTTTATTTCCACCCAGTTTGTTTTGTGTCCACAACACTTAGCTCAGGGTGCTTTGTGAAAAAGGTTAAGCTACTTTTAATGTCAACACGGGACTCTACGGGACACGTAGCTCTGGTTCATGAAAACACCACCACATCCTTCAACATTTGTTTAATCTAGGCTGTCTTCTGCACTCATTAATTTACATTAGAACTACCTTTTTAACCTTTCTCTATCCATGAAAGGGTTTTGCTGAGTATGCATACTCCCTTTCTGTTCTGCTTAGCTTCAAGGTTATATAGTGATGATCAACCATCATATACCTGTAGTGTTGCAACTTTCTTTGAGCACTGAACTGAACATCTTCCACAAAATTAAAGTAATGCTGATGACTTATTAGAAGCAAAACTCTTTGCATGCAACAGGATGTTATGAAAATACAGACATTTTTAAAATAGCACACCTGATTGATTTTATGTGCAGCTGGGCATTAGAACAGAACTGTCAAGCCTTCAGATGCTTTACTCTGCAGCTGTTTTTTGTTCTAAATGTCAGACTAGAACAACATTGACAGCGGAAAGTTTTCATCAAACAGGCAAAATTGAAAGGACTCCTAGTACAAAGCAGTCCATCATATTCAACAGTGTGAATGTTTATCTTCAAAGAGTTAAATGTCACACTTTGATAAATGCTGTCGCTTCCCACTCTCTGAAACCACTGACAAGACACTTTTGAGCACCTTGTACAGATATTCTCACAGTTTGTGCTTCATCTAGCTCCGTTTTGTCCCTGCTACTACTCTTAGTAGATTATATCTAATATATTGCAGGTCTGAGCTTGTCCACTTCCTTTATCCATCACATCAGGGGTTTCAAGTCATGCAGTGGTTGTGACGTAATGAAATGTGGTAAATGACACACGCAGTGGCATTATAGACTGTCTTCTACACGGTATCAATTATGCAACTCTTTCCTGAAAGTTTTATTCTTGTTTTTTAAATTCTTTTACTGGTTGGTCAATAACAGTCATGACAACACAAGGACAACTACGTGTTACACATCTGAACACACGTCGCTGAACCCATGACTGCAGTCACAGTTCTGTATGACTCATTTTACCTGCCAGGCAAATATACTGACATATTATGACATTTCTGCGGAATAGATGAAGCTTGCTTACTGTTTTTGCTGACGTCAAGCTCCCTGAGATTGATGAGGTTTGCGATGGCTGCCGGCAACACTGATAGGTCATTATCTGGCATGCTCAGTCGATGGAGTAACTGGCAGTTAAACAGTTGCTGGTGGAGAGAGAGAGAGAGAAGAGACAATATAGTTCTTAATTAAGAAGTGTATGGTTGACCATAGGGTTGCCCCCTAAAAGTTGATGATTCGAGTCATCGGTCGAGAAGACCATGAATCAACTCGCATTTTATCAGTCGAATCAATGAACTTTTGTTTTTTAGCTGCCTCATTGTACACAGAGCAGGGTCACAGCATGGTAGACTGCAAACTTTATAACCGGTCTTTTCAAATGACCCCAAAACCACAAAACTAACTGTAATAGAAGCAGAGAGGCGTGATACAAACTGAGGCCGGCGCAACGACACTCTACTCCACTGAGGACTGTCAGTGAAGTCAGTTAAACCACTTTTTAACCAGACGTCGGTACAACCTTCTCTGGTGAGATATTATTACTAGATATTATGTCCTGATTGTCTTCAAATCTCAACTGCATCATTCAAATGCTCTCTCTTTTTATTTTTTATATATATATATATATATATATATATATATATATATATATATATATAAAAAATAAAAAGAGAGCATTTGAATGATGCAGTATATATATATATATATATATTTTTTTTTTTTTTTTTTTTGGGGGGGCTTTTATTGCCTTTATTATAGTGACAGCTGAAGACAGACAGGAAAGGGGGGCAGAGAGAGAGGGGATGACACGCAGCAAAGGGCCGCAGGTCGGATTCGAACCCTGGGCCGCTGCAGCAAGGACTCAGCCTTGGTACATGGGTCGCCAGCTCTACCCACTGAGCTATCCCTCAAATGCTCTTCTTACCAAATGAACATGTTCACAAAGTAAGAATTAGTGTGCACAATGCTAGCTTTTCATAAGAGATAAACTAACTAGTTAAGCACACAGCAAGGCAATACTTTGAACTACATTAAGGTATTACTCAACAGGACACTAACGTTTTATAAATTGTAATTGGGATACACAGAGTAGAAATATAAAGTTTATATACATCAGTGTGTGTGCCTTACTTTAGGCAGCTCCTCAATCTGGTTGGCATCGAGGTAGAGTTCCTGCAGGGTCTTCTCAAAGCTAAAGATCTCCTTAGGAACAGTCTCCAGGCTGCAGTGGGAGTAGTCCAGCGATGTTACCGCCTCCTCCTCACCCCGCAAGCAGCGGCACGGCACCAGACGAACAAAAAAGCTCCGCTTGGACATCCTCAGGCACTAGAGAGGGAAAACAGAGAGATATGTAAAAGGCAGAAGAGGATTAGGAGTTGAGGAGGTAAGCATTTGGTGCTTCTTTCACACCGCTTTAAGTGTCAAATGTAACACATGTTTTTAGTGCAGTGTGAAAATAAACACCAATTTAAAAACATACACACGCATTGATCTTGATATCGGATCTGTGCATCTGATCCATGACCATGTGACCGCAGTCTTAAATTGTAAGAACATCACTCAAATGTTTTGTGTTCTCCTTCCACAGGACAGATCATTGTCAGCAGACTGCGTCCAGCAACACATGGAGAACAATGACTCAAGCTTTGATGAGGAAGAATGATGAGATCACAAACACCTCCAGCCAATCAAAACTACATGAGGATGTATTTTTGGTCTGATAACGAGCAAGAGCAGGCCATAATAGGGTGGAGCCGCAGTGTCAACAACGTCATAACAAAAAAGCAACAAGGAAGCAAATATCTCAAGTGACCATGTTGTCTTTTTTTACAGTGAACTTAATGTATTCTGTATTCTGTTTGATAACTGGGCAGTCACCCACTAGAGAGCAAGATGGTCAGGATGGAGAGACAAAGTGATAAACGTCACCAAGAGCAACAGTCAGACACAAATACTTAAAGAGATCTAATCAATACAGCCACGACTTTGGGTTAAACACATTTGCAAAAAAAAAAAAGAAAAAAAGGAAGTTTCCGAATTTGTCAACCTGGGGTCATGTTTTTGTCTATTATGATGACTAGTAAATGGTAAAAGGACTGCACTTATATAGCGCCTTTCCAGGTTAAGCACCCTATGTTTCCTGGAAAGCTGCATGAGACTTGTACTTCTTTCCCTGATCAGCTTTGTCCTTGCTGTAGTCTTCTCTCATCTCTACAATAAAGCAAACTGTAATAATAGACAAAAACATGTCAATAACATCCAGGTTGAGTTTTTTGGCAAACTGCACTTATAATATCCAGTTCAGAATCTCATCTAAAGGCAACAGTGTGAGCCATTCACAGAGTAAAAGCTTTCCAACAGTATCAGTAGATGTGCAACAGCTCTTCAGTGCAGAGGCACTAGAGGCTGCAGAAGGACCTTTCAAAACGGCCGTGGGTTGCTTCATGCACACTCGATTCTATTATTTCCTCCAAAGTATTGTGCTGCCAGTGTGTTTTCAAATTTGCATATAGATTACAGCTGATCACTGACAATGAGTTTCCATTCAGTGAATGAGTGCGAGTCCCAATTGATTAAAAAATAAAAACAGACATATGAATCCCTTTTAAAAGGTTTCCCTTACCCGAGAGAATCCTGAAATAAATTATTTTGATTTCCCCATTTCTGTGTTTTCTTGTGGGAAGTCTGCCACTTCTTCTTGCCTTCAATAGGTAAGCAAAATGATGCTCAATGTTGTGGGTATGCAGTATACTCTTTTGGGTTGAAACGGAAGATAAAATTGCAAGAAGTAAGCTATGAATCGGTCATGATTTTGGCAATGCTTGTCCTTGACTAGTTTTATCCAAAACTCTCTCAACTCTCACAAAATAGAGACATAAATGCCAGAAAATCTTTCAATCCGGTTGGGAGCTTAAGGGATGGAGGGGAGGGGGAGTTGTGGACCTGTCCTTTAACTTGCTACATGGATGTATGTATAATCTTTATAGCTCGAGTCTCGGGTCAACACAGTCGTTTTCACCAAGTACAGTATGCAATGTGGAATGTGTTTTGATCAAAAGAGGCTTTGTTCTTTGGAGCATGTGGAGAATGTGACTTTTCCTCCCCCTCGTCTTAATCTGAGCGCAGCCACAGCACATAATCTCTGAGTCCTTCACTCACTGCGTATTCTGTCTAACTGAGCAGTAAAATTATGATGGCCTTGACCTGCTCTGACAGCGCTGACTATGTGTGGGTGTGAGCACATCTTTGTGTTAGGAGGTTGTTGCAAGGATCTAAGATAGCCATTATTTTCTTTGATAACAAAGACAATGGGTTGTACAGTGCTAACCAAATTTCAGACAAATTTTTGCATGTGTGCATAAAGATGCCTTTTCTAGACAGTGCAGTAGGTGTGGCTATTTTTGGAGCCACTCAGAATATAGCCCACCATGGAATTAGTCATGATAGGAAATAAATTATACCAAGCTCCCAAAAATATATACACTTAATACTTCTTGATTTCATAATAATGAAGCAAGGTTACCTAAAAGAACTTTCAAATCTGTCAAAAGTTTACTCAAAGGAGGACCGGTCAGCCATCCCTCTGCCTCCAACTCATTAAAAATGGGTCCCCGTATGCACACGCCCACACTCACATGAGGTATGCACAACCAAGACTGTCAGCCTCCCACATACTCTTTGCTATAGCAGCAGGCAGCTCATGTATAAATACTCTCACTGAGTAATCTGGTCTATCACCAGAGGGGATGACAGAGGGCTTGGCTCCATTCACCCCGAGTAACAAGCACCGAGCGTATGGATGACGCATGCTATGCAGAGTGGGAGGCGAGGGAGGGCTGAAAGAAGAGGGAGTGTGATATGGGTTAACAGAGAAAGGGGGTAGTTGTGGGTCATAGTGAGTTATGCAAGAAAAGGCAATCAAGGAACCAAGAGCAGATAAGGTGTCATGAGAAAAGTTGTGGAGAGAGATGCATATGGTTTGAAGTATAGAAAAGCAGCAAGAGCAAATCAAGGAAGCGGAGAGTGGATGAGCTGAACATGTTAAAGCTGGTAGAAGAATTTAATCTCACACTTTAAGGATGGGTTCTACATGACTCCATCTAATAATGTTTAATGACCAGAAAATCTGAATGTTGGCTATATGACAGAGCAAGATTAAGAGTCTGCAGCCAAGCTGGCGGCTCTGCACTTAGGTACAGAGTAGCTTTGAGCTAAAAAAAAAAAAAAATCCTATACAAACTCAAAACATTGAAATTATTAACAGGTATTGTATATGAATCTGAAGTTTATTAAAGTTTATTTATAGAACTTGTCTCTGCCAGCTAGAGTTGTTAAACTATTAAAAACACATCAATGAGTTATACCATTGCTTTGTGTGAAACATCTTCATTGATGAGGACTGTATGTTTGTGTTGATTGGAACTTCCATGCACTCACTCAGTACCAATTGTGTATTAATCCAGCCTTGAAATTAGTCCAACAAATATACAGTTTACTCATGTTTGAGTAATAGTTACTAAAAAGTACAGTGGCCAGCTATTTTGGGAAGTAGGCTATATTTAACAGTATATATTCATGAACTATTTTTAAAAGACACAGTAGAAACAATAGTGGAGAGCCACAGACGGGGCAGGTCAGTCATAGGATTGAGAGACGAGCTGACACATTGTTGGTTTTGGTCTTCTCGGTGGCTTTGTTGACAATAAAAAAAACACAACACTAAAAAAAACAGTATGTTGCACAATATCATTAACATGCCAGGGCTCCAGACTAACTTTTTGCATTGGTTGCACTGGTGCACCTAACTTTTTTTTTTTTTTTTGGTGTAGGTGCACCCAAAATTTCCATTGCGTCGCCTTTAACGCCGTAAGGTCACCTTTTTATCGCTCTCCATAACTTTCATATAATGTGAATGATTTTTAAACAAGAATAAGGTGTAGAGAAATGCTTGTCTTTATTTGAAGCACAATTATATATAAAAAGAAAAATAAAGTGTTTAAAGTGCTTCACTGAGCTGAAATTAAAAATTTCAAACTAAAACACTAAGCAAAATAAAACATTTCCATATAAAAGTGCTTGTGCTTAAATTGCTTCACTGAACTGAAATTGAACATGTCAAACTCAAACATTTCAAGTAAAATAATTATTAATGATAATAAAAATGATTACTACTACCTGCCGCTGAAATGCAGCTGGGAGAGGGGCCACTTTCTCTACACACACTTGTCACGGCATATCGTGTATTTTTAGACAGTATTTTTAAGTTTCGATACGAAACGTTGTTGGCCCGCTCACGAATGCACTATTTCCGGCCATATTCTGACCGCACTCCTGACAGTACACACAGTGCATTGCGTTACGTCCTTTGTTGTACCTCAGCCAGGAAAATTGTTTCAGCCAGTTCTGTCTGAAGGAATATATTTTGACGTTTTTAATTTGGGTCTCGGAGCCGGGCTCTATCCCAGACTCGGTTGTCTCCTCCTCCTCTGGTTCCGAGTCTGATGCTGTCGCTGAAGGACCGGGGCTTGGTATCTCACCAGGGACCGAGGGCTCCGTGTCTTGACGGGATGAACTCTCAGTAGTGGGGATGGATGGGATTAAAGTAGTTGGGCTGGTTGTAGGCTTGGTTTTCTTAATGAAAAAACTTTCAATATTTCTGCCACTCTTCATTTTCCCTCGTTTTGTCGCATTTTATTTTATTTTTCTGTTTCAGTTAGTCAGCTACTCTCGCACTCAGGTCGCACGCAATTTTTAACACACAACTTAGCACGGTGAACAGGACCACAATCAGAGGCAAAGACCGGCCCGCAGTCTCTTATTGGTTTAGAACACGATATGATCCTACCATGAGTGTGTGAGTTCGGTCACAGGAGAACACAGAGAGATGATGCGCTTGCGAAATAAATTTATGTTTTCACCCGGGCAGCGTCAGGTGCACCAGTGCGACCTAGAAAAATTATTAGTCGCACTCTTAAAAATTTTGGTCGCACTCTGGAGCCCTGCATGCCCAGTGAGATAACTAGAAAACAACAGCGGACCTTGAATGAGAACCTTATGAGTCAGGTACTTTGCCAATTTGAGACAATAGTCCGTCAAGATAAACAATCTTTACAGGAGGAAGTTGTTCTCACCGGGTTAGTGGGTTGTGGTAACTAATAAACAAAGCAACATGTATGAACATTATTTTCATGCAATATCCCAGTTAAGTGCATTACACACTGTTGATGTTGGAGTTTAACTGCAGCATTTCTTCCATAGGCTGCTGGTGCAGTGGAGCACTGCATATATACACTGTTGCTATATTTCAATCTCCTACCTCCTTCATG